CCTCTCTCAAGACCAGCTTTGAGAAGCTGTGTGGTTCAGTGATTCAAAGTCACATCATGGAAAACATGACTACATCCCTTTCAAATGAACACAAAACTGGTCTCTGTAGCCTTCATGGGAAACGGTTTTGAACCACTTACCCTTCGTTTCCTTCAGAAGAATCGATACAAATATATTTAGTGTTTCCAGTCCTTCACGCTTTTTATAAGTCACAAAACTCTCTCTGAAGCTGCATTCATTAAATGGCTTTGACTGCTTTACTTTTAAACATTGGGACAGATACGGTGCTTTGCTTTTGTGTTGCAACATCTTCATTTTTTATTTTCAACCCCATTACTCCTTTTCAAACATTTCAAAGCCAAAAGCCAAGTCAAGGCCAAAGTCTACAGCCTGTATAAAGCACGCTGACGAGATTTAAGATGCCAAACACCGCCCATTAACAGATCAATTAATACCAGTGGCAATTTACGAATCATCATTTAGGAATTGTTTTTGAATGCTATTGAAATCTATTTACTGAATTGAATCTGACAGTTTAAGGAAGGAGGCCCTTTATGAACAATAGAAGTGCCTGAGGAATTGACTTCATACATTTAATTCCAAACACGTTAACCAGCAAATGATTAAAAAATGACATATAAACATTACACACAGACGGGTAGAAAAAAAATTAGAGAAAGCAGAAAAATGAGTTTTATTATTAAAGAAATATTGTTTCCATATGAGGAAGGGAAACGGAGCCTAAATTCAAAATAATGTTGTCTTTTTTGTGAATTTTTCTTGACAGACTGCAACTAGTTTAGGCATCATTTTGGAGTTTTTTATTGAATGTTTGGCAGCTATTAGAATGAATGGCACATACCAGTGTATATCTGTGCACATTCCAAATCTCAAAAGTGAAGGCAAATCTGTCACACACGTAAGGAGTAAAAATAAGAAAATGTCAAGACTGTCTTTCTAATACACTGCCAGCATTTTCTGTTATTCAAACCCCATCATGTCTTGCCTGCTGTCTAAAGGTAAATTGTTTCACACTGTTGAAAGACTGTGTGGTTTGTGTGTAATTATTGTTTCACTTCTCTGGAATCTCAAGTAAAACCAGAGCTGGTGATAATTTATTACATTTGTCTATAAACAGCCCTGAAAGGCATTTGATTGCTTTTTTATAGGATTGGCTTTGTAATATTTTCCACAAATTCTAACTAAACTATTGAAGTTTCATGCCTGATTTCTAAGGGCAGCTTCTTTAAAGAAAGATATTTTAAATCCTGCATAAATTCCAGCCCCATGTTTGTCCCTAGAATGACAATAGGTTAATTTAATGGCCCACTAGTTTCCTCTGGATACATTTTCAATAATATCAAAATATCTTTCACCTTCAGCACATAAACCTTGTAGTTAAAAAGAGGTTCTGGAAAAAGTACCCAACTGAAATTGATGTGAATAAGCTTATGAAAATACCATCACTAACTAACTTCAAGAGACTTCTGTTAATTTAGTCTATTCTATTTTCTAAGCAGAATGAATCACTTGCTGCAACTTCTGCTGACACAGTGTTTGTATGTACCAAAACCTTCACTGTGCTTTATGTCTTCATTCTTTCAGATAGCGTTTGTTGAGCTCTTAATGTAGGAATTGGCTTCTGTTTTGCACACCTTCAGTCAGAGGGTCTCAGTCTGTGGGCTCGTAGAAAAAGCTCAAACTTTTTTTTCCCCATCTGAAAACAGCAGAAATGCACCCTGCACAACTCCCCTTTTATGCAAATGTTGTTCGGGAGACCACAGCTTAATTTGTCTGTGGAAAAACTGGGACCATTTAAAAAGATGTCTGCTTAGTGTTTGAAATTCCCGCATTATCTGTCACAACCCTTACTTTTCTGCCTGCCACACCCCAGAAATATAAAGGCCCCCTCGTTAAAACTGTATAAAATACTCAAGGAAAAACAAAAAATAGCACACAGTTCTTCCAAAAAACAAAAACCTAAACAAACAGTTTTTGCTAAAGTCCAGCTATGATGAACAGAGTTGCCCATATGAATATTAAAAGTAAATTATCATTACTGTAATTATAACTAACTGCTTAATCTCTGCCCTGCAATTTTTTGTTTCTAATGGTCATTGTCCTGGTCATTGACAATCATCTCAGGGGAAGACCTTATCTGGACAAAATTCCTGAAGCATCTTGGCAACTAAAAATCATGACACTTCCACCTCCAGATCTAACCTTTCCATGCACACTTTATAAAACTCACACATTTTTTCTCAGACATTTAAGCATTACAAGGTACACTTATTTCACTCTCAGATCAACATGATTACTGTATAGCAGCCGTCTTTATCATATCAAATGAAGAGCCTCAAGAGCTTGTATAGTACTGCGCTGGTAATGTTGCTTTTTAAAGACATCATAGATAAGGTCTGCAGGCAATTTAGTCAGAGAGGCTAAGTTACCCTCTAAGCCTTTTCTCAGTTAAACGTGCAGAAAATGATATAAATGTTTAATAAATTGTACTAGACGTTTCTCCGCAAACATGCTTGGCTTGTTTTTAAAACCTAATGAAAGATGTGCATTTATAAATCGGGCACTTTCTGTGAGCATCTCCCATGAAATACTTAAGTCTGGTTATAATAGAGAGGAAACCACTGTCGACCATAATTTCAAATAATTCACTTCATTCTCACTATATGTTTCACAGAAACCTAGGCTTGGTTAAATTTTGCTACTCAACCAACTTTTTTTTCATTTGAGCTTGGAAAATGATTTAAGATTTATAAGCACAGTATTAGTTATAGTCATCATTAAGGAAGAAATGCATATACTGTATAACTGACTACAATACAAATTTCTTTCAGAGCATTATGATAACATTGGGCCACTTTTCTTGCAAACTGTCAGTAAAATACCGGGCTGCATTTCTACAGCTCCCTGAGCCCTGCAGCCCAAGTGGCCTTTAGCCTGGCTCAATTTATCAAGGCCTGTTATCAACAAGCAAACAGGACTCCACCAAAGCCAGAAAGTTCTCCCCAGAGCAGTCAACGGAGGGTTCTCTGTCCCTGTTAGAAATGCTGTTTCTTTCCCTAAACTGAACCTACTGACTCCTCCTGGAATGCGAGATTTGCTGTATTCATTTTAAGAACAATGTGGTGCTGTATTAATCCCGCTTCTACTAAACACGTGGTATCACAGTATCACCAGGATACCATTTCTCCAAGCTGAAAACGGAACACCATGCTTTCTGGAGGTGAGTCGTTGGGCAGGGGGTGGGGGTGGGGTTTTCGCTCTCTGGAACATAGGACAAATAGCCCGTTTTGTAAAAAAACAAGACTCATGACAGAAGAGTCCCACTAAAAACGGTGTATAGTCACTTCTCTACTTTTCGTCTTCACAGCAGAAGATCTCTATCACCACAAGCTGACACTCACCTGTTCCACCCTGACTGGAATCAGGATAATCTGAGTGGTACTACAATAACCAACGCCAAGGCGCTTCAGAAAAAGCATAACAAAAGGCCTGAAAATGGCGAGCCAAGACCATATTCTACATATCCACAGGCTTACACAAAATTCCATAAGATATTCACACATGCAGCGATAAACCCGTCTAACTTGGATCATATTCATTTTTTACTTTCATCACTCAAGACAGGAACTGTTAGAGCAACGCTTATGTTTCACTTTCAGAAGCCTGTTTTGCATATTTTTGGAATAGTTTTCATGTTTGATCCACGGAAAAAAAAGGAACACGCAGCTGGTTATAAAAAGCAATTTTTACATTTTTCTGGTTGTCCATTTTGACTAAATGTTATCCGTTCAAATGATGTTTAAGTTATTCGGTTTGTACAGTGACAATTGCAGTAAGGTTCTGTTCTACACCGTAAACAAAACTGTAAAAACCTTGGGAATACAGGAAAGAGGTTGGATTTGAAATTAAAGAAGTCACGCTCAAGCTTCACAATGCACTAGTAAAATCTCTTTCAGGACAGTGTTCTATGTTGTGCACCATACCACAAAAAGGCTATCAGAAACAAAGAAAGAGTTTGAAGAAAAGCAACACAAATAATTAATGGGATTGAAAGAATATACTGTATACTGTACAGTAAAATCCTCAGGGTGATCGACAGAACCAGATCATGGCTATTTCAAACTCGGCAGCAAAATAAGAACATGGGGTCTAGGAAACACTTCTTTACACAGAGTTGTGGGTTTCTGGGCCAATCTTCCAAGCCAAATGGATTAAAACCAAACCCTGGGCTCCATCACTAAACGGCTGGAAGAGATTTTAGATTCACTTACTAAGCTATCAATTGAGAAAGATGGGAGAAATGACCTTGTCCTGTTCACAGCCCTTTTCTGTTTCCATATGTTCTTCATGAGTGTGGCAGGAAAAACTCACAGCATACAAAGCTGCCTGAATTCCACTTATAATGACACCTAATTCAGGTTCAGCCACATATGAAGTCCCTCAAAGTCTCCAGTCAACATTTAATTGCATTTAATTTCAGAGTACACATTTCCCTCGATATCAGAGTTTCCATTCACTCTCACTAAACAATGTTTTTTTTTGTGGACTGAATTTTTTGGTAGTATTCACAATTCAAACACAAACACAAGGTTTCAATGGGGTGCTTGATGTGCAGATGCATGCCTGTGTTTTAAAACTTTTCATTTAATTATAAGGCTGAGGCAATGCATTCATCCATCATACCATTGATTCATACTGTAACTGATCATCACGTTTGTGCATTTTTGTGTTCTACATGAAGTTAGAAAGTCAAGACAATTGTGTAAGTAAAGAGATTGCCTTCTGGCAGGACTCAACAGATCTATTATTGAAGCTGCTGTTTTATAGTGTGATTTAGTTAATTTAATTATTTTAGACATTGCACAAATCTACAGCACTGCTACTGGGTTGCTGTCTATTAATCAGTCTGTTAGCTTCATGAAAAGGAATATGCCCATTGTAAAAAAATGTAAATGTAATGAAATATCGTAATTACTCACCCGTCTTCCTTTTGGTCCTCTGGCACCAATGGCACCACGAGACCCAGGAGGCCCCTATAACACAAAAAGGAAGACGACCAAACTGAGGTCAGAGAATCAAAGAGAAAAATGGCCAGAGGTACCAAGGCCCACAAACACTCAAGACCTCTGGGTCTCGTTCAAGGAAATATCCCTATGTGATACTTCCTCAAAACATCTAAATCGACCTCATTAGTCACCTAAATAAACCGAAAAATGCTCCAAATTGCCAAAGCAATATTTTGGGACATACAGTACCACCTAGGCTAGAAAGAATCTGATTAACTGTAATTACGTATCACATTGATGGGAAACGTTAATTCCATTTCATTTTTTAGTACACATCACAACCCAGAAAGGCAGAAAAAGTACAAAAAACTTTTTCATAAAAGATGGGAGAGGAGCACTCGGACATGGGACACAGCAGCTGTGACAAACACAGGCAAAGCAGATGAAACAGAGGAATTAAATTCATCTGCCAAGAAATCTGCACGCTGTGATGTTAGAAAATCCACAACCAAAACCTGGAATCACAGTCATTCATGTGCATCTGCAAATCAGTAGCACATGATCGTTTCTAAAAGGTGTCTTTACAGAGAACAACAGTTCATGTGTACTCATTCTCTATGTTCTGCAACCTATCATAATTGTTGACAAGGGCTATTAGTGACATACGCTTTTAGCTAATGAGCATATTGACAACAGAATAAAAACCTTTCAAATGCTATACGTGCGTCTGCACAGAATTTTCTTGTTTGTTTCTTGTTGCGCAGAGTTTCTGGTTTAATTTTCATCAGCCCAATTCAGGCTCCAAAATTAGGTGCTGGAAAACGTCTTCCAAGGCCATGTTTATGTTTATTTTCAGTTCTCTTGGGTCCCATCGCTTCCAAACGCTTACTCAGGCTTCACAAAGAGCCCTTTCCCAAAACAGTTCATACAACATCAATCCGCTTCATTCTAATTACACAGAAGTGTTAGATTTTCAGCCGATGGGACAGTAATCCTGCTAAAGCTGGAGGGTGCTGAATTCGATTAACATCAAAATTCCCCTACAAAGGTGTTCCCTTAGATTGTTCAAGTGTGAATGAAAAGGAAGGCTTTGGTCTCTAATTAAAGACATTAAATATTTTTGATGCCGCACCTACTCATTTTTAAATGGGGTAGGCTGTGCTTGTGTGTACAGTCTGTGTGTGTGAGATTGTGTGTTTGAGGGGTGAGGGGGGGAGTCTCACATCTTTAATCCTCCATATCCATCACCAGCTTGTGCTTTCTAGCTGCAATGCCAGGGTGCCAGCGCGATAACGACATGATGACACCACACTGGGCTGCGGTTCAAAGGCTTTGTCTGACTTGGACGCCGCACCACATCGAAAGGGGCATGATACAAGATGGCACCCAGGCCAAATGAGAAGGGCCTGAAACAAGAATGTGTGGCAAGGTTTTTGCCAGCTCCTTCAACTCTGAACCATGTCAAGTCAGACACTCAACAACACCATATTAAAACGTGGCCACATAATTGCGGAGACAGGAATCAAGACATTATGTGTTCCCAGGCTGCCTTTTATGATAAAAGGACAACTGTCTGTTGTTCAGATTTTCAAAGCTTTACAACTGCAGGCGTGTCTGTGTGTGAGAACATGCATCTGTAGTAACACTCCAAACTATTACATTAAACACAGGTGGCATGCGTTTTGAACCCACTCCAACCACCCACTCTTTCTTGTCAGTTCATTCTGTATGTAAACACATACTGGCTTCAGACAAAACACGGGTTGCTGCAGCCCAGAATATTATGCCATTCCAGCTGTGATAATTAGTTTCACAGAAAACTACAGAATGCAGGCTACACTTCACACAGTAAGAAAAGCCAGCTTCATTTCCTTCATCATCAAGGGTATGCTCCTATAAAACTCCAAAGCAGAGAACATGTCTAAAGGAACATATTTTAGTCATCGTTATATCATTAGATATCTCATAACTTCCCGAATGATAAAAAGTGGATGCAGCCAATTTTTTTTATCTACTGGAATATTTTCAGTTTGTTTCTTATTTTAAACTTCTAACAGTATGTTAGTAAATTCCCTTTTAAAACATTCTGTTGTTTAAGAAAAAACAAATATTTGAAAGAGAGTGAAAGCACTCCTCTGTAATGAGAACTGTCTCCTTTGTAGAGGTTAATGGTTTGCTTTATGGTTTTCCTGTGCTGTGCAGTAAAATTAAGCAGTCACAACTTTGATGCACTTGGAAGCCATTTTATTTTCCAGTTTCCCCTTTCACTTTTAACTTGAAATTCAACATACTTGAAAAAACACAGCATACACAGCAGTACTATAACCTCCAGCCTAAAAAAAAACCCAAAGTAAACCATCTTAAGGAGTGACCTATTATAGATGGACCTTCTTTTTCTTTGGCAGTGCTCTCATTTTTCACACAAGATGTCAGATTATGCTAAATTGGTTGTATGTTTAACATTTACTGTGGTAGTTTAGCCATTAAATTATTAAAAATATCAGCAATCCATTGTGAGCATGTTACTGTACCTATTTTAGCTGACTCATACTATACATTTTCTCTCAGCTAACGTAAAAGACACAGAGGGGCCAAAACTCTAATCTGATTCAGAGCCTTTTGAAAAGGATTCTGCAGCTAAACAGAACAGGCTGCACAGTGTTTAGAGAGTAATGAACAGAGCAGGGTATCTGGGCAGGCAGTGTAGTCCTGACTAGTGTCACATCACCATAAAAAAAAGCTGGCACAGACATTCACTGAAAGCTTGAGAGGAACGGCACAGAAGTAAAAATATAATCATAGACTTGGAGCATTTCTCAACACAGATGAATCAGGCACATATCATAAGTGTTTAAAATTCAAGAACTTACAGTTCGTCCTGGTGGTCCAGTAGGCCCACTTTCACCTGGCGTACCTGGATGTCCCTGAATGAAATCAAACAGATTTTTAAGAAAAAGATTAAAGTATATGAAGTATATTAAAAAGAAAACACACCAACTTAAAGTCTTGCTGAAGAATTAAAGAGTGCTCTACATACAATATAAAGTGTACATATTTTCCTCATTGCTTATACTGTAGCTTAACAACTTTTTCTTTGCTATTATGATATGACTCATCTTCCAAAGAACAATGCTAATTTCTAGGTCATACCCATGTCTTTTTGGATTGGTAGGGGAGATGGGGAATGTTACAGGAACGCTGGTTGCAATTAAAACAAAAAAGAAAATTGTAGTAAACATAAGGATGGTCCACCAATGCAATTCAATAAGCACAAATAGAAATTCATACACTTTGGTGTGTGGCTGAAACATCTGTTAACTCTGTTTGCACTTGTGGAATGCTGGTTTTGTTTAGACATATATGAAGTAAGTGGAAGTGAGGGGTCTTCAGGCATTTTTTATTTTAGAATTAAAATTTTAAAAAGCTAAGAAGAATATTTGTACTATTTTGAACACATTTGGTCAGCCAGGTCTCCATTGACGTGTTAAAAGAACTGGAAAAAGAGTCATATCTTTCCAAGATTGCAATACGGACATAGTAACACTGAAAACTCCTTTTACATACAAGTTAAAAGACATAAGGAAGTGAAAATCTTGCCTTACAGCCATAAAATTGTTAATGGAAAAAAGGAAAAACCAAACAACAGCTAGACCTCAAAAGAAAAAGAGCCCTCTTGACCCTCCTGTCATCAGACACTACCGTGATTTATATGTGGCTGTTAAAATTGTGTTAGAAATTCAAGTTGTTTCCTGAGTACTGAAAAGATTGGTTGCCATTTCTGAAGTTCAAGAGTTCATGTTCTGAGCAGCACCAAGGTGTGCATTCTTAGGACTATTACATAACTCTTAAAATTGTTGTCGCAGTACTGTCATGACTGGGGAAATGTGGTAGCATTCAAAAGGTACCCCAAAAACATCAATATTACGCACAACATTAATATGATCCAAAAGATGATCATGATAATAAAGGCAAGGAAACACCATTGAACATTATTTTTATTAGCATTTCCACAAAAGAAGCAGTTGGTGTTTTGATAAAAAAATATAAAGGCAGATAATGGGACCTTAATACTTTAATTAGTTGTTTGAGCTGTTTAAAAGGTAAAAAAAAACACCTAATGGATTCAAGCCAATTGGCAACACAGTGAGAATGGAAAGATCTTTAGGTACTGTATAAATACTCTAATTATTAAGTGTGAGCAAATTCTCCATAACTTGTGTATAAAGCATGACACTTAATCTTTATGTTTTATACATACGCCGTTTCAGTCCAAATTAAGCTGTCTTGCCTGATTAATGTATATAACATACAAAGTTCTTAAACTGACAAGAAAAAGAAATGCAATTCATTAATTAAAAAAGATGGTCTTTATCTCTGGTTCCGGACTGTTTGATCATGAAAAAAGTCTCTGTTCCATTCATTTTTTTCCAGTCATTTTTTTTCCTCGTCCTTATATCAAGCCTGTGTTTTACAAGAGAGAAAATCTCAAGAAAAACAACCTAAGCATTGGAAGAGTGCCGAATACAGGTTCTGTAAAATACTGATCAGGCAGACAGATACTGTAGCAACATTCTGGAACCAAAAAGCAAGCTGTTGTTAAATTCTTCATTTACGTCATCTGTCTTTTTCTGGCACGTAGTAGGAAGCTGACTCGGCCATTTATTCAAATAGATAACTGTCTGGTTTCTGTTACAGATTTTAATAGCTTTCAGACTGTGAAATGCAAAGGAGGGTATATTTGACATGACTAATTCTAGCTGTTTCTATTTGTAGTACAGACAGCAGTAAAGAATCACAAATTGCTTGACATACAGGAAGGGAACACACTTATCAACCACTGAAGTGTAGCCCCTACCTAGGTCATAGGCAGAAAAGTGAGGAATAGCACCAATCTGTTTAACGGGTGAATTAGGTAGGCCAGACTTTTTAAGACCAGGGGACACCACATCATCAAACATTTTAGGAGATTTTCTAATGCATTATATACAGTACACATTCTCAGGGGTAGACAGACATTTATCTTCAGTTACTGTGTCAGGATAGGAGGATGTTTCTGATTTCAAACGTGACAAACAGCTTCAGTTAGAGCTGCCAAAATATTGTAGTAACTGTTTATTTGGTCAATCAAGGAGATTAATAAACTTCAGAACACTCATTCCAGGGTCATTTGGGATTTCCAGTAGGGTGCATTTGACTGTGTTAACTGAAAAAACACTTCTCCAAACGTTCTATGAATCAGTGGATGTATATTCACTGTTATTCTTGTTTTGAACATTACATACTGTTGCAGGCAAGTGAAATATTTAAAATGGGCAGGAAAGGTCTTGGCACAAACTTTCAGATCTGACAATACAGCTTAAGGTCATATCACTGAAAAAAATATTTTTAATATTAGACTGTTATACCTATACTTCCTAAGGCACTAGGAGCTCCCAAAATAGAGCCAACTTTCAGAGGGTAAAACACTTAATAGAAGGATGACACTGTGCTGTCTTTCTGACATCCTATCACGGTACAACTGTCCTTGCACATTCAAACTTTAATTCACCAGCTATATTCTATAGGACATTTATAATGTAACATCTTGATTGAACCGAGATAAAAAAACAAAATGAATGAAAAAGCAAAGTGACTGTAGACCAAGTACTGACCACTGCAGAAAAATATTACGCAGGATAATGAACGTTTTGACAGGGCCAGTGAGAAATATATACAATATATATTTGCTCATCAGGTCTGACTGTCTCCTGGAGTGGTTTGTTCATATTCTGTACTGTATTTCAGTAGGATGGGTTCAAACCCCTCTTCCACCCCAGCTCCTCAGTGTTTCATGTCCAAGTCGTACAGCAGTGGGAACAGAAATCGGGTCCAGACTTACTCCTTACCATCGCTCCCTTTTCTCCTGGAGGGCCAGGAAGACCCATTTCCCCTCGGTCGCCCTGGCAACACAAACACCATGATAATGCGCAAGCAAATCACTTGGAAAAAACACAAAAGCTCTGTTAGAAGAAAAAAGAAACAAAGATGATTTTGAACCAGAGTAGTTACTGAAATGCCACATGGGGGTGACTGTTTCAAGAAGGATATAGCAGCAGAAGAAAACATTATCACTTAAACTATCAAAGAAAGTGAACAACAGAAGGTAACAAATTTAGCAACTAATGGATGCAAACGTTTCACCCAGTTTATTTTTGAAAGAAGCCAGGGAATTGACTTCAACTACATGGTTGGTAATTTGTTCCATACTCCAACAGTCCTAAAACACAAGGATCAGAAGTGGTAGTGTGCCGCCACATTGTCAGAAATGGTTTTTAAATACACTCTCCAGGCACGACTGACTTGAGCACAGTGCTTTAGACTGCTCCTGTCTTTCCTTGATTTCTTAGGGGAATATCCAAGTACATGGGTGTAAATCTACAGTATATGTAAAAACATAGGATTAGACATACTGTTTTTTATGACCAAATAAGAAGAGAGGGCAGTCCCACATCAGGCTGACAACATGAACTAAATCCAACAGCTTCTGTTGTCTAGTACGTAGTCCTTCAAACTCAATAGGCAGAGAAAGCTGATCAAGGAAATTCCCAGCATGAAAGAACATTTTACATGCTTGTGGCAGCACAACTCCATCATCTTCATCCAAGCTCCCCTCCACTTGAGGTTGTGATGAGGGTTAATGGTGCATGAAATTCTACTGGTTTCAGTGGTTTTCCATCGGATTCTTGTTTTGGAATTGTTCTAGCAAGGAAAAGTGATGGAAGCCTGTACCATGCTGGACTAGCCAACCATACATTTTCGGTCACTGTGAGAAAACGTTTATTAGATGGGGGCACATATCAAAGAAGGCATGCACGTTTTCTAATGATACACTTAGCAAATACAACAACCATTCAAATAAAGCTGAACAAACGTTTGAAAAAGTATTTTTTCATGAGCAGACGAACAGCACAAGCTCACCTTTTCTCCTGAGATTCCCATCTCTCCCACGGGGCCGATGAAGCCAATCAACCCCTAAAAATCCAATTAATGAACGAGAATGTTTGTCGACAGTGCTAACAAGACGAAATAAAAATGATATTGCTTAAGGAAAGTGATTACCCTTTCTCCAAGCTTGCCAACCTTTCCAGTTATGCCAGGCTCCCCCTGCAATATAAGGGTTAGTTAATGGTTGTTTCATTTAAATACTAAACACACTTGCATGTGTACAACACTATCAAACACACACAGGACTGCTTTATTGGAAGCAGAACTCAATGGAAACTCAATGGAAAATCCAAATCCAGCAACACAAATTAGTTGAGCACAGAGACAAAAATTTAATCAGTGACAAAATATTATCAAAACCCATTACTCAGTACAGTCAACAGGGCAAAGCAATTTAACAGAGCCTGATAATAAATAACTTGCTTGTGTGCACAAACAGCTGAGTCATTGCTGCAGTAAGACAGAATCACTGCAACATGGCTGAAGGCTTGGAAGTAGCTTTTCAGCTTCTCTGTGATCAGATTTTCTGCGGCATTTTTAGAGGTGGAGTTGAGTTCTTCCAACTCACTGTTTTAGTGAGTTGCTATCATGCTGACACATAGAATAATAGAGCAATCATTAACCTACCTTTAGTTCCCTGAAGACCTAAGCAAACACAGTATATGAACTGTTGTTATCTGCCTCTTTCAGCAGCCTAACCTTGTGTAGGATCACAGGCTTATTATACCTCCAAATGAAAAAGACCCACAAGCTTAAACTGTGTTAAAAAATAATTGAGACATGATCCAGCTGTGACTGCACAAGTTTGATATCCACCAGCAGCCTCTCTTATTCCTCTTTATAAAGAAGATATAAAGGATGCTGCCTCCGAATTCAAGTAAATTGATGCAGATTTTGAAATTTGTGGATGGTGGACCACAAGAGGTGTATATCGCAGATGAAAAGGAAATATTACTCATGGATTTGAAATTTATATCACCCATGGCTTCAGCTTTTGGTTGTGAGATTTTTCAGCTTTTTTCATTTGCAATGCCCCGGGTAATTTGCAGATCAACTTGTCTCAAATGTGATCCACGAAGAAAGGGAAAAACATCACACGAGCTAAGAAATGCTACTGTAGGTTTCAAAAACCAGAATCAAGAAGCAGAGGCATGAAAACCCTTTAAGCTCCAGATTTCTTGAAACCGTGCACACATCTAATATACAGGAGATACAATGAAGCACATTGTAAGAAGTGCCCCCCTGCCACACACACAAGACAAATGCTCTTTGTTAGGTATATGAACAGTATTCGCCTCTCGGTTACCTTCAGACCATCAGGGCCCGGTTTTCCAGGGAATCCTTTCCGCCCCGGTCTGCCCTGAACAGAAAAAAAAGAGAGGACTGTAAACACCCTCACTTCAAAACCCCTCCACCCTCAAACCAGCTCTCAGCTGTGAAGGCAAGAAGATTAAGGTGAGTATCTGCCCCACAGGGCTACACCTATAACCCAGTCTCTGGCATCAAAACACCCCCTTTTTAAATTGCGCAAACCGTTTCTTATCAATACGTGTGTGAATAATGGGTTACACAATAGACCCTGAAGGGTAGAATAGAAGAAAGGCGCTGGAATTGAACAATATATATTTGTCCGGCTTGATATAGGACCGATTAGGCCATTCTGATTCAGAGGTTTTTGATGTCAGTTCTTAAGAAAGCTTTTCTTAGTCTGCCTCACCTATCACTTCCTCTATATCCATCGATTCTTTGCAAACATTTAGTTTGCTGTAACGAAGATAATCCCGTGAGTCGTGAATAACTGCTTTGGAATTCTCAAGCTGGTGAAATAGATGAATTCACTCTAAACTACAGAGTACTGCCTGACGTGGTTCTCATTTTCCTTTTAAATTTGCCATTACCCATTATTTGTATCATATGCCCTCGCCAACTGTTTTCAGACTTGGCCTTCATGCACTGACTCCTGCACCTGCTCAGGGGAGAATGAGCCACACAGGCATTGCTTCTCTGACATGGCCAGCTGACAAGCTCTTGGTCACTTGTAGCACTAAGCTCTCCAGCACCTGACAGGAGGGGAAGAACTGACTGCAGAAGTGACACCTCTTTGCCTGACAGCACTGTAGGTATTGTCACAGGCCTAATCACTTCCAGAAGGCTGAGAGAATTCTGACTAGATCATCTCAATCCTACCCTGGTAACCCTCTGCTTTTGAGGGGGAACTTAACTCTTAGTTCCCTAGAATGATTTTGTCATCATCCATAATAAACACCAAATACAAATCCCAAATAAAAACACCAAAGCAAATATAAGTCAAGATAAATTGCCCTGGAGAGATGAAGGAGTTAAGAATATTTAGGAGCGATTTTGCCAGCAACTATCAAATGCTTTATTCTTTTAAATTCACCAGTGCTTTGGTTGGCCTGTTCAGTATTTTTTTTCCTGGCAGCAAATAAATCATTTTAATACAGTAATATCACATCAACAAAATATAAAAGGTAAAAGATCACATTCAGGGAAAAAACTTCTGAAATGAAAGTTTCCACGTAAGAGTTCAGTGTTAAGTCATCTTTAAATGTATATTCAGGGAGAAGAACTCCACTTCAGTATGATTCTGAAAAGGAAGATATGACATTCTCTTCTCTTGTATAGCAATAGATAAAATAAAATCCTAGGCTACAGAAAACATTTGGCATTTTTACATTTTTAGGCAAAATAATTTTTGAAACTGGAGGTTATTGGATAAGAGAATTCTGAAATCAGAATGCTGAAATAAAACCAGTCTTCAGGGCAATATCTTGGATGATTAAACAGAACAATTTATAAAACATTACAACCTTATACAGTACACAGAGCTTTTGTTTCTGGTTAATCATGGATTCTACAGCAGCAACCTAGGATCCCCTTGTTAGTTTTGTAATTGCAGCTTAAAAATGAAGACAGAAGATAATGATAATGGGGACAGATAGGAAGATTATCAGTATTTCACAAACTCTTTGGTGGAAAAAAATGTTAATTAGGTGGTGTATCAGGTAAGTGAATCACTGATACACTTCCCTGTGCTGTCTTTTTACATACAGTATAGCTGGGCGAAATCTCCTCTAAGCAGGAAAAGTTGGCACAGAAAACTAAGCAGAAACAGAGCACTGGTAATGAGAAATAGAAAAAAATAGCTGCAAACAGCAGATGTAATCTGTACTTTAAAAGACTGGGAGAAAACTGCTTTTGTAAGGTACAGAACAGACTGACTCATGAGCATTAACATATGTACGTGGGCTAAATATTTGAACACCTACAAGAGTGTGTAGGAGAGGCTGCCCTTAGGAACTTGCAGACAAAGTTCGTGGATGTCTAAAATTAACTCTCTTAGCACTGCCAATGGAATAAACAGTTATTGACAGTCACATTATGCATGGGATAGCAAGAATTGAACCACTGCCAAAGCCTTTTGCAACAAGAATACAGCCAGACAGCAGGATTACTGTATTTTTTAGCTGTCTGGGTGTTTTTATAAATGCTGTTTTCATGTTGCTGCACAATTTACAGTCCAGAATGGGCATCAGTTGTCTGTAATAAACATCACTTCCTCTTGGCTCAGCTGACAGCAAGTTTTATGTGCATATCCTGAGCATGGAAATAAACTGTCTGCTGGATGACAATACAGAACCTCTGTGGATCCTGTATAAAGCTGTGAGACCTTGATGGGCTCAGTTTTTCCACGTATAGTGTGTGGCTGGCAGGTCTTGGAAGGGACTGTAATCGCGGCAAACCTGCCACTAGAGGTCGCCAAAGACCTCTTTTATTTGTAAATAGACAAACCAGGTGGTAATTAGTCAATGAATTAGAGAATTGGTGGTGACAATTCTAAATTTTCATAAGTAGTTAATTAGTATATGTGGGTATATAAAGGTCTTTCAGGGTGTTTGGATTGTAGTAGATGTCTGGGAGGCTACTACTGAGTCTTTTCTTTCCATTTTGTTAGACAGAACTGCCTGCTGGCGTGTCCAGTATCCATCAAGGAGTTTTTCCATCTGTTCAGTCCCTTGGGGCCACCTTATTTAAGGTGGGGCTTGTCTCTTAATTCACAAATATATCAGTCAACAAAGTGAATAAAAACATAACTGTTGAAATAAAAGTATTATTATTTCATCATATGCACTTTGATTGTAAACAAAATAAAATTGGTTTAATTAAGGATACAGCTTGCTTTCCAAGAGTAACAGCTTCTGTTTCACTATAGTACTGTAGCGCTTTTATTGTAGTACTGTTGTGCTTAGCCCCACCTTTAAACTTTTTTTAAAGCCCCACATCTAAAAATTCGCTAAGATTGAACTTTTGGGAACATTTTTACACCAGGCTTAGTTAAAATGATGCCAAACCAATAGCAGATTATAAAAATCAAAGTGCTAAAGACACACATCCTCCCCCACCTCTACCAAGCATACAATAAGCTGCATACTGTGGATATTCAGGTAGAGGCTGCACCCAGACAAAATGGACTTTGAAAGAAATAGATCCTGTGTGACAATCCAATGTAAGATTTAGCCGCAGTTGGTTTAGGTATCTTGAGTCGGCAAATCAGGCAAGCTGGTTACTGCCTTATAAGTCTTCCAGCACTTACAAAAATATTTCTCTTTACAGCAGAAGACAGAATATTTAATATGGCAATGAAATTGTGGGATAATGTCAAAACCTTTTTAAAAAAAAACCTGGCAGACTAATGTGTGGTGTCTGAATATAGCACTAACCCACTGCCACTCAGTCCAGTGTTTTACTGCTGACCACAAGCGTTCCAAATGACCAGAGGTCCATAAATGCCCGGCGAGCTTGTTTCCGAGTTTGCTTACTCTTTTGAGATAGACAAGTAAACCTGAAGGTTATGAAGGCCAGTGGCCAAGACGAGAGAAAGTTATTTTCTAGAAAATGCAAAGCAGTCCTTAAAACCAGGCATGAAGAGGTTGGCATTTTGTACCAACAAGTGTGGAGAGAATGAAGAGGCTTTGTGTTTTGAGATTAAATACATTATTATTATTTGTTTTTTTTTTAACCCACCTCCACTTCCCCAACTTTGGAGGACTTCTTTATTTTTTTTTATATTTTTTTTTTCACTCTCTCATTTTTGTTCTTATTAGACAATACCAACAACAACAAAAAAATTACAGTCACAAAAAAATAATAAATCCTTCCAACTAATATCCTTAACAAGCAGTACCATTCAAATATGTCTCTAATGGGACCCAATCATTTCTATACTCGTTAAGTTTCCCCTGTAAATTCTATGAAACATTTTAAAATGTAATTTGTGATACAGCCTCTTTAATCCATTCTTTGTACAACTGTCCTATATTGTCCACCCATTTTATTATGAGATTAAATAAATGATTAAAACTCACCTCTAACCCTGGGGCCCCAGGAGGTCCTATGGGCCCTTCGTCACCCTGGAAACCAAAAGAAACTTACTGAACTTTACATTTTTTTTAAACATAACCATTCATTGCCTTCTAACACAAAGGAGCAATCAATATAGCTTGCTTATTAAATTTGAACTGAACTGTTCTCCAATTGTGCCCAACTTAGTAGTTTCCATTGAACTTTTTTAGATTCCATGCTGTCAAAATAACATCAAGCACAACTTGTAAATGTTTAAGGGTTATAATGAAATAAAAGCACTTTAACTATATGCAATCCATCTACTTTGACAAAAGATTAAAGAATAGTGTATTTAGTAAGCTTTCCATTTCTGGGCACAGAGTTCAGAAAAGGGGATAAGTTATTATCAATAATACAATCATATTAGACTGACCCTTTGAGATACATCAAAACAGTGTTATCCTATACCTATTCTGTAACACCTATCTAATGGATGGCCTAAATCTGAAAATGAAAAAAAACTATTTTGAGAGCATTACTGATACACATCACACCTGTGTGGATTTTGCATGAGTGTTATATCAGCTGGCACAGAATCATTATGATTTTTTCTTGGTCAATATTTACACGACAAAAGTACAAACTGTTCACATTTCAAAATGTGCTTCAGTTCCAGAATGGATCTCCTTGTGATCCGTCCTCGCTCAGCATTCAAAATATTGCAGTTATAAATGGCCATCCCATTTTTGGCAGAACACATCGTTTCAATGATGTGGACAAATGTGGAAAGACAGTTACTGAGTTTGAGGGTCTCACCTCTAGGCCTGGAACTCCTCTCGGGCCTGGTAAACCTCTGGCACCTGGTTTTCCCTACAAAACACAGGAATAAAATCTAAAAATACAATTAACTCTCCTAAAAAAGACTATTTGCTTATGAAATAGTTATAACTTAACAGTCAATGCATTTAAAATCTTGATGTAGGCATTCATAGTGGATTTTGGTTTTTTGTAACCAAAAAACCTGTTTTTGTAACCAAAAAACCTGTTACAAAAAACAGGAATAAAATCTAAAAATACAATTAACTCTCCTAAAAAAGACTCTTTGCTTATGAAATAGTTATAACTTAACAGTCAATGCATTTAAAATCTTGATGTAGACATTCATAGTGGATTTTGGTTTATGCTTGGAAAAATTAATAAGAGCACCTACTTTTGGTGACACCAGATGGTTTGATTAGAAAAAAGGATTACAGGTATGTTATGGATATATGTGAATTCTTCTGCTATTCTTCATCCTGAATGATGATTTGCAAAAGAGCAGGCATATAGATAGCATCACTAAACGTTTAGTTTTTAGAAACTCTTCAGTTGGTGGGTTTTGCTAGAGTGCATCCCAAATTCCCATTAAGCCATAGAGCAGGATGGTGAAAGGAACAATTCTGTCTGTTCCTTAGAAATAATGTACTCCCAGAGGAAGGCACATTTTATCATGTGTTGTGACTTGTTTTTGTGGCACCTTTTTATCATGTTGTGAGAACTGTAACTGCTAGCCACAGTAACCCATAAAATATATATTGCCCTGCAGCTCACCAGTGGTAGCCCAGCCCACTGGTAGCCTGGTCAGTACCTGGATGGGAGACCTCCTGGGAAAAACTAAGGTTGCTGCTGGAAGTGGTGTTAGTGGGGCCAGCATGGGGTTCTCACCCTGCGGTCTGTGTGGGTCCTAATGCCCCAGTATAGTGTAAAAAGGCGCTGTCCTATAGATGAGATGTAAAACCGAGGTCCTGACTTTGTGGTCATTAAAAATCCCAGGGCGTTTCTTGAAAAGAGTAGAGGCGTTACCCCTGTGTCCTGGCCAAATTTCCCCCTGGCTTTTACCAGTCATGGCCCCCTAATAATCTCCATCTCTGAACTGGCTCCATCACTATGTTCTCCTCCCCCCTGTGGGAAGCAAACTGGTGCACTCTGGCTGCCATCTTATCATCCAGCTGGGGCTGCACATTGGTGGTGGCAGTGGGATTCCCCATTAACTGTAAAAAGCTTTGAGTGGAGTGTCCAGAAAAGCGCTATATAACTGTAAAGAGAGTATAATTTGTTGCTTACCTTTGGGCCTTCAGGACCGTTTTGCCCTGGTGGTCCAATGTCTCCTGGAAAGCCCTGTCCACAACAGAAAGGAAATGACTTTAAGACCACCTTGGCATTTCAGTCACAGCTCTATTGTTCAATATGGGACCTGTTCCACTTGAAAAGTTCAGCAAAGAAAAATGGGAGCAATACATGAAAGGCCAACCTTTTGGTACAGGCCTTCAGGGTTTTAGAATATTCAAACAGGTAGTTCAAAGAAAGAAAGAAAGAAAGAGGTCAGCTCTTGTCCAGATAAAAGTGCAGACAGCACTGAAAGGAATTCTGCAGTCTAGCCGTTTAGATTAGATAAAAATAATTCTCAATTAAGGTACCAGACTGCTATACTGCAACTATTTATATAGTGTCTAAGATCCACAAAACATTTACTTTGAAGATTCAAGCAAGCTGCTGTTAGTAGTTTTTCTCCTACATCTTAATCCTTAAGTATTTTACAAATTTACAAAAGCAAAGCTAAACACGTGGCCTCCAAATACTGTAGGCAAACCCTAGTCACTTTGACGGCAATGTATTCTTCTGTTTAATTAAGAGCTGAACGTGACAAGTGGGGAGAGGGGTAGAGATACTGTAAAAATATGGGCAAACTCTTTCTGAAGTCATTTAAGATACTGTAGGTTGTCTTACTTCTATGAGCTTGGCAGCAAAAAATAAATAGAAAACATAACACAAGTTATATTGTTGTAAATCAATTGATAAAGAATAAACTAATATGCTGAATATAGACTGATGTGTTTCTCAGAAATGGTGCTATTGGGCATTCAAAGACATAAGTGTAAATATATTTAATTTCTATGGATTTAATTGGGAGTTTCTTTCATTAAAGAAAGCTTAAAGTTTAAAAGTTTAAACTAAACTATTGCAGTTGTTTGACATAATGATCAGCTTCTGTTGTGTGTAACCAATTGTCTCTTCATGAGGCAGACATTTTAAGAGATCAGCTACACATGGGAGACTATTTCAATAAAAAGCATACTGTATAAAAAGGCAATCAAAGAGCAAAGAACACCATCAGTGTTCTTACAGGCCTGACATGCGACTAATTTGGCCTTATCAGGTGTGATACCAAAACGTTGTTTTCTTTCTTCTTTTTTTTCAGCAGGGAATAAACCTATTACTTGTTCCTTTGCAGCCTACGCATGCTGACGAAGCTACCCACCTGAACTAATCTGGCCTTTACTAAAATGTAACATTTTAGAGAAAAAGAAGAATTTCAGTCTTTTCAATGCCAGCAGGGGGAGCAATTACCAAAAGCTGTAGCAAAAAAAAGCAAAAGTAAAAATAGTTTTTTGTCTGAACATAGGGAAATGAATGCTTTGGTTTTTGCCTGGTGGATACTTATGATGTCCTTATGTTCAGGAAGAATTATGCAGGAAACTGGGGTTTAGCATGTTTACCACAGCAGCCCTGCCTGAGACAAACTGTGACTGCTTGCTTTGAGACTCCATGCTATTCTGCATTTTTCAGTGTGTAATGTTTTCTCATGAGCGTGGTAAACATGTAAATTGCTACCCAGTGCCAGCTTCCACTGTTCGCCTACATTGTTAATGCTTTCACTTTGCTGTACACCAGAGTGTTCCTTTGTTGCTCCCATTTGTAGAGTGAAAAGTGGTATTTTGTTGTACTTTCTCCAAGCACATACCACTTGATAAACAACAGATTGTTTTGCATTGTTTGATCCATCCCTACATAACATCTGTAATAATTCAGTTACATCTTTCTCTAGTTAAAAATCTCAGACTGACAAAACCTAATATTACAAACTGATATCTCTCATTTTAAAGCAATGAAAACATTTAAAAAATGTTTTAAGGAGGCGCTGGGAGATTTTTAAAATATATGTTTTGTTTTAAAGACTTGTTTAGCAATAACAAAAGGCTCAGTTATTATTCAACTAAATTTGCCAAAGCAATTCGCAACAGGATCTAAGATGAACCTGGGGTAATGGCAAGAATGTCTTTTATACCTGTTAACCACACCTCTCAACTACAGAAAAGTTCAAACAGCCTGAAAAGCGAATAGCAGCAGAGAATGGCTTTCATTTCGATTCCAGCTAGGGGGGCTGCCGTAGGTGGTCTTAAGAGTTACAATTACTGAATATCTATAGGCTGTTTGTGCGCTTTGAAAAGTTAGAATATCAGAATATTGATTGTGGTCAAGTAAGATGTACTGCACACTCATTCCATATGAGCAGACTATACATCGCTGGAATAAAGAACACTTACCTCAGGGCCTGGTGGGCCTGGTAAGCCATCTTGCCCTTTCTCACCTTGCTTTCCCTTTAAAAGAAGAAAATAAGGAAGGTACAGTGTATGGAGAACTGGACATAGCATCTACTGAATAGTACAGTCTACTTATGGATTTAAGAGCCCTTTCACACTTAACTCATCATAGCATAATTTTCGTGGTTTCCTTTTGTTCGCTTGGATTAATGAGGAACAGGTTGTTAAGAAGTTCCTTTAGAGAGCTTGGAGTACATCCTTTTTCTGCATTGCTAAGGTGACAACACCTTTACAATCCTTGATAGGGTGCTAGTTAACCCCAGGGTTAACCCCAGCACTACTGCGGGGTAGACTGGAATGATCAGGGGTAGAGTACCATTCTCAAGTATTTTCTGCAGTGGGGACTTGAACCCACATCCTCCTGATTAAAAATCCAGAATGCTTAGCACTGGTCTATCCAGCTTCCTGTTGTTTGCAATAAGGCCCTTCAATATTTCAGTAACGTCACTCTTGACTCTTTCAGGCAGGGGTCTTAAACTCAGTTCTTGGAGGTCCTTTTGTGTTCTGGGTTTCGTTCCAACCCGATGACTCAGTTAAACACTCGATATGTACCGTTACCTATAAAACTTCCTGGAGCCTGGCTAGTAGTATAATTGGGCAGAAATAAAGAACTAATGTCACCAAGGATTTGACTTAGAACTCAGGAATAAAAAGTTGAAGACACTAGGCCCTCCAAGAGCTGAGTTTTAGACTTTAAGACAGATAAAGCAAAACCAATTAGTCCCTGGCATCTAAAATTTACAAGTACAATAAACATGGAGTGTGTGTCTGTGGGATGGCTTACCCTGTGGGAAATTATATTCTTAAAAATAATAGCAGTTGTTTTAAAACATCAAATGTTTGTCTTCAAATCTGCATTAAATGACAATAATATGAAGCAAGGGTCTCAATCTCAATTTGTCTTTTTGTTCCACCCACATTCCTAGGTAAATACTGTAATGGGCTAATTACTTAATTAGCTACATAACTGCAACACCTCAAATCAGGCTCTGATGTAATCTGATCTAACTGTAACTGGAGCTTTACTGAAGTATGTCTCATGTAGTAAAACTAACTGAGAAAAATCCTATTTATGTCTAATTCATATCATATACAGGTTAACTGTTTAATTGACTACTCAGATTGGAAAACATGCATAAGCATTTCATTGCACTTGTGCATATGACAAACTGAACTGACAGTCAGAAGAGGCAAATGAACTGAGTTTGTGAACCCTGATACATAGAAATAAATGTGCAGCCATCTAAATTTAATTACTTATATAATGACTATATAACGTCCACAGATATGCCTGTGATGCAGTTTTCTTAAAATATGCAGTATGGTCATGACATTTGCAAATTTAACATGACCAAATACTGTTATTGGCCATTTGGTCCATCTGATGGGGTCATCCGATGGTTCAATCCATTGGATGTTCAATCCAATGGACTGGAACAGCATAGCAAGATGAAACCAAACCAAAGGTTAGACACATTTCAAATTAGCAGTACAACAGAGTAGAATTGCGAGACGAATCTTGCTGGGGAGTGAGCCTCTTTCTGCCCTCTGCCCAAATACCCACTTCCTAGCATTCGCATCTCAACATGGTCTTGTTTTCCTATTGTATCAAGCATTCTGGTCTGTGTCAGGGGCTTGAGGAAATGACAGGCTGGAGATTACTTTACAGGGCTCACTGACAGTTTTATTGCCCTATTCATTACATTCATTACTATTCGTGCTGATCACGAAGGGAGAGACAAAAAGTGCAGGCATCCCCTGGTCGCAGATGACGGATTCATGTTCTTTATGTTAACTGATCACATTAAGCTTGTGATTAATGTTATTTCTTTAGTTAATTTGACTTTATGTTAATTACTATAACATTGATCATCATAAGGGAGGGTTACGTGTGTCTTTTAACGATACATACTATATACTGTAGTACATTATGCAATGGTATAGTGAAGGACTTGGTTAAATGTGAATTTGGCTGTTAGCAACAGTTTAAAAAAGTACAAATGCAGGTTGTCAGGACACTCACCTGTGGTCCTGCTTTTCCTCTCATTCCTGGCAGCCCTGGCAAACCTGGATTACCCTAAACCACCAGGCAGAACAAGTCAGAGAACAACACAAAAGGAGGAACACAGAATTTTCAGGAGGAGAGTCAAGCACAGCCACAGTAAGACAACTCTGAATGATGTATTCAGATTTAGATTAATTCTGCACAGCTGTAAAGATTTTAGATTTGTTTTGTGCCATGATTGTTTTCAGCTCGTTGGACCCTATGAGGACAGAGAGAGCAATGGCGAACATAATGACCTAACGATGAATGAAGTTAAAATGAATACACGAAGGTCAAGAGACAGGACAGGTTCCTCCCACCTGATAAGACATACAAGGCTGAATCAAAGCTTCCTGCTCTCTCTTTCTGTTCCTGTTATCTTTTTTCCAGCCAAACTCTAAATTACTTAACGTGACTGGGACTTGTTTTGCTTATATAGGCCTTTTCAATTGCTTTCAGTTCTTAAAATGATGCGGTTTTAAAGTAGTACAAAACAATTTATTTGTAACTTGGAATCCAGTATTACTTAAGAGTGAAAAACAACTCGGGTCTCACTTTCGCTTTCCAGCAACATGGAGACTTATCTTTAAATTGTAATTTATTGTTCCTCTTTACTGAGGTATTGCACATTTCTGAAACATTTAAATGCAATACTGACACAAACAACAGGCAATGGCCTTTTTGAAAAGTGTACTCAAGTTTATCTAACACAGGTTTGATTAACTGAATTAAGATGAATGAAGTTGAGTACCTTGTCGCCCGGATATCCAATTTCTCCTGGAATCCCAGGAACTCCAATTTCACCCTGCAAGACAGGAGAGAAGAAACACGGTTAAAGGTTCAAGCTCAGCAAATGGTAATATACCTATAAAAATAATGATCTCAACAAACTAGGATGAAACAAATCTAAGACACACTGAAATAGCATTCACAGAACGTTATCATTTTGAAATCTAGGCACAGGAAACAAATACGGGCTGCAAACATGTAGAACTCTTTTCTTTGTGTTACATTGTTTACAACGTCAAAAATTCTACATTTAGATCTCAGACAGGTAGGCCAAAATTACAAACGTGCAGCACAAGGGAGGAATCTTAGATTTTCAGGATTAGATCCCTGGAAACATCAATTCATTTTACTCTTAAAGCACCAAATTTGTAACTGACGCGCCAGATTAGTTTAAAAAGGCAATACAATTGAAGTGACAATAGGAATGCGTAACTTTGGAAATCCGTCACACTAACACCTCCCACTCCACGTTTCAGAACTACAATTCCCATAATTAAGCAAAGATCTTTCTTAAGGTTTTGTTCTTAAATAAAACAGTCAAAAGAGTTCATTAGGTTATATTTCTGAAGAAGCTAGCCATTGCATTGCATCTGCAGCACGGCACTGTGAAATATAGAGGAAAACACTAACATTTTGAACTGCATAAAAGTTTAAATGTACCACATTATCTTCTCTTCAAGCACAAAGACGCACTGATCTATCCTGAACTGTTTGTCAATTATGCAGGAGGAACAATGTCGAACTGCACAGTTATAGGACACAAGCAGTGTGTGTGCATGAAAGGGGCCAGTGGACTCTACAGAGCATCTCTTTGTGTGGGAGGAATCCAAAAGGCTGTCAGATCACATGCTTTACAAAACACAGGGCAATAAGGGAGTATTCAGATCACCTTATCACCTTTCAGTCCTGGTTCTCCTGGATTGCCGGCCACCCCCTGAAAAATATCCAGCCACAGATTAAAACTGATCCCTCTGAAACTGTTACCCCCCCCAAGAACAATTCAAGTCAAATGCACACAGGACACCAGGAAGGTGTATATGTTTTAAATTAAAATATTTTAGTATAGTTTATGACGCTGAGGTTGTTTTCATTTCAAATATAAATATCTGTAACTGTAAATAATGCAATGAAAGTATCACATCTGCCCGGGAGGCGTTTGGAAGACCTTTAACATAACTACATGAAACACCTCACCTAGAAACAATTAAGGCAATACAAGCCAAAAAGCATGAGAGGGAAGTGAAGACAGCCAGGAGATTTCTGTAATTTATGAGCAAAAGTAATGCTTGCCTGTCAGCACCTCTTCCTCTCTGGATTGGAAATTAATATATTACAATTGAAAAATGAACTGCAACACTTTACAAATTCAACTCATGCTTCAAGACAAGATAAAGTACAGTTAAATCAGTAAGCTAGCACTTGAACATTTCAGGATTGGTGAGCAAGTTTCTGATGATGCAGTTTGAAACTCACTTATGGCATTGAGCACATGGTGAATTCAAGGCAAGTTCCCCAGTGGCTCCACAGGTTAATTAAATGAAAGCATGCAAACAAACTGGTTCAAACATTCCCTCCATTCAATCTGCCAGATGGTGATATTTGGTGGTAGTTTATGACGTGTACAACTATCCAGCCTTTCCCACAGATGCTCTACTGGGTAATTAAATCCAGTGAAACAGCAGGCCAATATATGACATTGATTTCAGATTGATGCTGAATGGTTCGACTGACCCTAGCTATCTAGGGATGAACATTATCATATTACAACAGATTAAGTCATTGATGGTGGTACAGGTGTAGCAATTGAAGGCAGAAAATACTGTGAGTTGAGATTACAACTGACAACAACAAGGTGACCACTAAAAGACCCGCAAGCCATTACACTGCTGCCACCAGAACAATGGGGTTCCCCAACACTTCCTCCAGAAATAAATGTCCCTTGTCATTGTCAAATTGGACATGGAACCAGGATTCGCCAGAAAATGCCAGGCCTTACCTACTGTATATCCAGGGTGTTAGATCCATGTTAATGCACAAACTGTCTTACAGCCCAGTGATAAGTACTGTAATGAATACTGGCAGCTATCAGGAGACTAATGATCATGAGTGGATTTAGGGGTATTCCTCGATGTCCACTTCTTAGCAGGTAGAGCTGTTCCCATGCAGAAACTCCCCATCAGGAGTTCTACTTGAGTCATTATATGGGAGGAGCGGTGGCTCTGTGGCTAAGGATCTGCGCCTGTGGCTGGAAGGTTGCTGGTTCAAATCCCACAGATGGCAGAGGAATCCTACTTCGTTGGGCCCCTGAGCAAGGCCCTTAACCCCAACTGCTCCAGGCTGTACAATGGCTGACCCTGCGCTCTGACCCCAGGTCTCTCCCTATCTGTGTGTCTGTGTGTCTCATGGAGAGCAAGCCGGGGTATATGAAAAGACAAATTCCTAATGCAAGAAATTATATGTTATATGCAGATGAGTGGATCTGACCTGATACCACTATTGTCTAATGTAGTGATGGTGGATAAATGCCCCATTGACCAGCTGTCAGCAATATTCCACACTCCATTCCGTATCTGTCCTATTTAGCTAAGGCATTGTTGCTGTGAGATTAAAACGGGTGAATACAGCCTTACATGTGCAATCTGTCAATCATACATTTTTTGCCACATCTAAATTGTTGCAACTGTCATTTCACGCTCAGGCGATAATGAGGTGGAGGTTCTGACATTTCCTCACAGACAAACTCTCATCATTTATCATTCCGACAGATGACTTGGTTAGCACTGAAACGTGTTTAGAAAAATGAGCTGCATGTTTCACAGCATTTCATTTAATCATGGCCAGCAAAACAAATTAGATGAATAAGAAACAGGCTATACATATGAACCTACGCCAACAATATCTAATTATTCATACACCAAAAAAGTGTAATAAAATAGTTTACTAAAATGGATGTTGTGCTCAGTGTGGACACTTTGAAACTGGAAAGAAAATATGGTGTTTTCACAGGGGTGAACAAACAGTAACAAGATGTTTACACAACAAGTGAAAGTCGAATCACATTAAAATTGAACCTTCTCCCCTTTTGTCAGGCTGAGCAGCTGATGAACAAATGAAAAGAATAGGGGCAGAAACATGAGTACTGAGGTGGTTACCTTGAGTCCCTGTGGCCCTGGAAGTCCCATTTGTCCAACAGGACCCATGTCACCCTGGTACCAAGAGAAACACAGAACCAAAATGTCAGAAGGCCATTCAGGAACTCGGAACAAGAGCAGTGGGAACACAGCTTGACCCTCAACAGACGACACGAAAAGCCTTAATTAGCAGAGGCTGGAAGAGCAAACAGTGTCAAGTTCAGAGCCAAGGAAGAGTTTCAAGGGCTCTGATCCATGGGACAAGGAACTCTGGGACACCAGCCAAGAAGGCACAAATAAAGAAGGTTTCAGACTAATAACACTAACAATTTAGCTCGAAAGAGATGTCATATTTGTGGCTACACTGATTTCAAAAGGCTTCAGTCACCAACACTTAATACACCCTTTTAAAAATAATCATTCTGGGATGTAAAATGACAACATTCGTTAGCTGCCAATATTTAGAGGGGCCGTATGGGTGATAAGACTCCAGACCTAATCTTATTTTAATTGCTGATGCTGCCACAGAGGACAAAAGACCAACTGAAACAGGCAATCTGAGTAAGTTTTTCACATTGGATGAGGGCACGATGGAAACATTTTACTTGCTTGGCAGAAACAAACTGTCTTTTTGTTTTCTAATCAAATTAACACACATTTTGAAATATTTCAGAGAAGTAATCATTTGGATGATAGTTTAAGAAATACAAAACCCAACCATATCCTTTATACTGTACAAGTTAGTATGACTAGCATTACTGCCATGACTCCAGCAGTAATGGCAAAAGTATCAGCACGTCTAGCAGTAGTAAAATAATCTAGTACATGTGCCAAAGTAATGACCAGTAACATACTTCAAATACAGCTCTTGGAGTTTTACTCTAAATGCTGTACTTGACCATGGAGAGCAGGGTGTTGGACGTTTGTTCAGGGCCATACACAGTCTCACTGGATGAGTCTAAACAGTCCACTGCTCAGCACATCACAATGGACTGTGGTTCTGTCTCTAAACACTATCCCGGCTATGCCATAAAACAAGGTTAGTCTCTGCCAAACAGAAAAGAATCTCTCATGAGACGGTCGTCTTGTTCCAGTGAACATGCCGGCTGGCATGAGTCAGAGTCACCTTACGGAAAGTTTACATTGTAGTTGGGTTATTCTATTGCATAAACTATCCATGTTTTTTTTTACTTCTTTTTATAAACCACATAGTCCCCACATCATATTTTATTGCCATTCTGGAATGCTTGTAATAATTTCATCACATTTGTCATTAAAGGTAAAAACATAGCCATAGATTTTTAAATTGTTGCTTTATTTGTCCTACGTTATTCTGTTAAGGAAAAGTGAGATTTTTACATTTCACTGAACTGTGTAGTCCTATTAAGGTCCAACCAAATACTAAGGGACATTAATTATTACTTGTAGTCCTCTTAATTCATATTCTGTAGGTATGTTATTGAGCTTAGGTATACCTCATCTCTAAGTGGTTAAATTGATATTTATATAGTTGCAAGGGCATTTAAAATGGAGGACAGCATGACTTGACCAAAACACTTGCTGAGATTATGAAACACACCACCCAGCCATGTTAAAGCCAATACACTTCCTTCAAAAAATGGCTGGATGAGATCCTTAACTACTAATTACCAAATGGGTTAGATAGTAGGCCATTTGCTGCCTCGTTTCCAACTATTCTTATGCTCCAAATAACAGAAACAATGGTAAGTGCAGTATATTTAAGCAATTTGTCTGAAGTGACCATTTTGTTTCCCTCTGTTCTTGCAATCACATTTATTTTGTATGTTTATTCCAAAAATTCTTATTTTTATCCATTTTCCATTTTTCTAAATTTCCCAGCATACAATACTGTGATCGGCTTCAGAAGGTGAATGATGGTTTTTGTTTAGTCAACAGTTTGCCTTAAGAATTCAAGACACTAAACTGCAATGAACTGTGAATAACATGGACTAGATCACAGAGCCCTCAACCATTAACAACAGCAAGGATCTTGGTGGGTCACTGCTAACTCCACACTATTTATGATTTTAACTATAGGGATCTATTCTACACTTTCTAGAAGTACTCAGGCAGTGAGTGTTTGTCATATTTGAATGTTGCAAAGGAATTTACTGTATATTAATAAAAATATGAGCAACACATGTTTATACCCGAAAATGTACAAACATGGTTTGATATTACCAAGTTGCTGTACAGTTACAAAATGCAAAATACTACCCCTTTCTTTTGCAGCTGACAAATTCATTATTAAAGACCACTTCTTGAACAACTGACACATACTTTATCAGTCCTATCACAGCAGTGTTTACAGGCAGACATTAAAAGAAGATAAACATTAAAAGCAGACAAAGTATTGTATCGGTTCCGAAAGGAAATATTAAAGATTCACAACTATATTTGCTGCTAAGCAAGATAAACAATATAATGTAATTTGTACTCTAAGTTAACTCCCTTTACTAAGGTTAAATAAAGTCTGAAAACTTTACCATGCAACCAATTTATAAAATTACTATGAAATGTGTTAGTGGTCTAGAGTATTGCAAGAGTCTCCAATGTGAGGCATTATGATATTATGGAGAATACAGTGTTTTGGGATCACCAAACTGTATTAATATTGCCATTTTGTTATTCATCGGTTTGTCCTAGCCTTACAGAATCCCTTGCCGTAAAGACTCTGTATTAAGTGGATGGGAGGAGTAATACAGATGTGTTTTCTGGAAATACAAGTTGCCGTTCCAAGTCCAATGCATGTCACATCATCAATACGCACGAATGTTCAAAGCAACAGCTGTTGCACTCAGCACTCTAAGATAAACAGTCACTTGGAAGGTTCAAGGCAGATATCTATTTTTTCCTCTTATTCATGATCAAATGTTGAAGATGAGGAATAGGACAACAAATATTAAAGAGCTTTTTGATTGCTTCCAGATGACTTCATTTGCCTTTTGCAACTGTTAGCTTGAAATTTCAACATGGAACTGAATCATCAATCCAAAGGCAGACATAGGAGATAAACAGTGCTGAAAGATGGAAGGCAAATGAATGGGAAGAGAAGGCTGATTAAATCCCATCAGTGACTGGGATAAGCAGTGGATATTAGCTCCCTCTCAATGAGTAAATGTATCCAATATTTAAGTCAGTCGTGGTCACCTGGGAAGTTACAATATAAGAACATTGATTTTTAAACCCAGTAACACTCATCTTTCTATTTCCTTTCTGTCTCACTGAGGCAATGTCGTCTTTCTATTTCTGCTGAGGCGAATTCAAGATGAAAGAATTTCAGGAATCTCTAATGTTGGCTTGCTAGGCCACTTTGATTTACAGTTTATTTGTCTGTTGAATTTCCTTTGCTTTCCTTGTGTTTTTGTTCTTGTTCTCACCACAAGCTGGATCCTCCCCATTAAATGGGCAGCTGGCAGCGTTGTGAGCTTCGGCTGCGTCTTCAAAGTTAGCACGGGTACGAATTTTGGTCTGTATAGCACAACGTCGAGAAACAAGATCTATGCCTGTGCTTACCAATTGATGTCACCATAAAGGAAACATTAAACTATAACAGGAATTTATAAGTAAGGATACATTTTAAAGCCAATTCACATAAGTTAAGCGAAATTCATAAAGCCTATTTAACTCTTTTGCTCCAGGAATTGAAACAAACAAAAAGAACTCTTGTACAGGAAATAATCATCACACTACTTTGGTACAATTGGTCAAAACATTAAATTCTTCTCTTTAATGTTTGTTTCCTTTCAAGCAAAGATAAACATTAAAGAGAAGATTTTAATGTTTTGACCAATTGTACCAAAGTACAATATACTAATATACTAAGAATATACAAACTAAAAAAAGGAGAGTTGGCTTTTCACTGTAATGCAAACAATTTTCAAGCATAATCCATTTACAAACTAACTTACAAGCACGGATTACACGTACAAAGACATTTGGCTCTAACCATTTAACAGGAAAAATGTCCGTTTTACAGCATGTGTTTCCTAAATCATGTTAACGAACAAGTAAATGTTTATTCCATGCTGAAAAGAGACACAACATTTCTTGACTTGTTCCTTTGCAACCTACACATGCTGACACTGCTACTGAAACTTCATAAAACGTTATACTAGAAAGTTCCCTAGACATCCTTTTGTAAAAGCCTGAAATGGATATGAGTTTAAAAGATTACATGAAGTCATCAAATATGCCCAGCACAGTGAAACATATTTTGAGCTGCAAGTATTAATTGGTTTGTGAGTGAAGGGAAATATATTCATAAGGAAAACAATGCTTCCACCCCGAGGCTGTTTCTAAACGCAATCCAGCCTTTTGCAATGCAAAATGCTGTTTACCATTCTGTTCTCAGATTAGATGCAGATCTAGTAATAAAAACAGTGACATTTTTAACATCAGCAATCAGCTGCTTGCCAACATAATAATTACTAGCATTATGGTGTCTTAGAATAGTGTATCAGGAAAGGCGAACTTGCACAGGGTATAATCTTGAGCTATTATGTGGCTCTGTACTGATGTTTAAAGGTTTGCAGCTCTTAGGAATCTTTTTTAAGTATTTATAATGCACCAGTTCCTGCACTGGTGCCCACTGACTGACATCTTTTGGGGTTTTTGAGTTTAACTCCTTTCTCCCATCATGCAACAGCAAAAGGCACAGAATGACCTACAAATGCACAACAGTTTATTGAAAAAATATCAATAGATTTCTTTGGCTTATAGTGACTATGACCCACTTTGTTTACAAATCAAGTTGCTGTTGATGTTTTTAATGCAATAATTATAAAGTTTACTCTGATTTTGCAATGTGAAAATGCTCTTTTAAAGAATCGTCGTGAAGGTGACTGAAGACAATATAGATAAAAATGTTATTCAAAATACAATTGACAGTTTTGTTATAACATTTGGAGATTTTCAATCTGAACAGTATGGCACATTTCACAGGACACTCTTTAGCTCTAAAAATATCAAACACGTCAACTTTCTTTTTGAGAGTTGAAACTACTCTTTGAACTTTGATACACAAATGCAGGTCTTCTAACACTAATGGATTTATTTTTCCTTACCACATAATGATAAAGGTTAAATCAGTGAAAGATGCTTTTAACTCATAAAGGGCGATGCAAAAGAACTATTAGCACCTTCTAGTTTATCTACAATAGAACATTGTTGAGGAGAATTCTAACCATTCCTTTCATTACATTGCAATAGTACTCTATTAGCAAGCAATGATACCACATGGTATTTTACCCAAAACTCTGAATTTTTCCTTCTTCCTCCATCTTTTCTGGTATCTTTAATCACAAGCTGTATATGGACTTACACAATTTTCATCAATACAGCGAGTGTAACATTCCTGGCCACGCTGGAAGGGCCATTTAACTTTAGTTTTCCATTTCAGAGCTCAGACACAGCCCCCTGCAGGTTCAAGAAAAATGTGCAGGTACCTGGGAGACAACTGAGAGACTGGGAAAAACACACACTATGTACAGCTTGTTTATGGTGTCCCAACGTTCCTAGGCACAGTGTAGCTTTCCTAGTTAGTACACCAAAAGGTTGAAAGAAAAAAACAGAATGCAGACAGGGAACAATTAATGGATATTTATATACTTACAATGAGCCCAGGAACTCCATTAGGACCAGGGGCACCCATTTCTCCCTAAAAGGAAAGAAAGTTTCTAAGGTTATTGGCTCTATTCTAAACAAATACAGCCTGAAAAGTAGCTCAGTGTTCAGTCGAGCTAGCGGGGAGGGGAAGACCTCTCCATCTGTCCCTTGATAGCTAGTGTAATCTGCAGTTCCCATCTCCAGAAAGCATGCTAATGAAAGGAACCCTGGTTGTTTTTACACAGAGAGTCGCTTGTTGTCCTTCTCCACCAGCCCACAGTTATGTGTGATGCTGACTTCCCCTCATACCAGCGGCCAGGATGAAAAGAAACTCTTTAGCAGGGAGGAGAGATAGCAGTTACAGGCTTCACAACAGTCACTGAGAGGAAGGAAGGGGATTTTTTGGTTGTTTTTTTTAATGGAGGAAAAAAAATGTATGGGGACAATTTGGAAGCCAGTGTTCCTTTATGAAAGAAAAAAAAGCAAAGCCCACTGCTCTCAGCCCGGCAAACATCTAAAAATAAATTTTAAATATGTTAGTCGCTTAGAATTCCTCCCAGACAGTTGAGCAAATTAAAGTTTCAGCCGACAGTATCTAATATTGTCGCGGCTGTTACCCATCAATTACTATTAGAAAATAGATTAAAGCAACATGTTAAGACAGCTTTCAAAGGCAATGTACTCATTAGACAGCAGGGACCTGAGCTAAAACACACTTTATTTTCTGCGCATATGGACTGTGGTTTTCACACCAGGGCTGCAGAATGTTTATAATTGAATTAATTTCTGACAAAATATTTGAAAAACGTTTCTCATTTTCAATTTAAAAGAAGCAAGCAAAAGGTATCCAGTGACAGACTTGACTCTATTTGCTTACAGTAAAGACCCATGGCTTAGATCTAGAGTTACACACAAAATCATAATACCTTTCAAATACAAATCACTGTGTGAATTAACTTCATCATATTATAAATTCTAACGATACTTTTGCTACACAATATGACAATAAATATGTTGTGCCTAAAAACCAAAAAGATATGTCAAATTGTCAAAAATAAAAGACATTTGACAAAAATCAGCAATCAAACTTCAGGAGTTGCACATCTTACAAACTGTTGATGTGCTGTATGTTTCTTTCCATTAAGAAAACAATGATGTAATGAAATACATGCTAAAACCGGATCATTTATGTTCATATCTTTTCCAAGATATGATTTCCAGGAAAGTTATAATATTCAGACTTGATATGCAAAGTTGGACTGAGCCATCAATAATAAAATCCAGACTGAGGTAACATGAACTGAGAGTCAATTATGAATACATTTGTGTTGAATTATATGCATGTTATGTGACCTGAAAACTACTGTGGATGAATATTGGAACACACAACCAATTCAAACATGACACTTTCAATTAGTCCTGTCCTAACCCTATCATGTGCACACATGTGAAATGCTGTCCTCGAAGACACGCTTTGTTAGAATAAACAATGTTGTAGTTTAATGTGCAATGTGAAAGCTCAAATGCCTTGTTTTTGGAACTAATAACGATCAGACTGGATTCATTAAGGGATAAAGCACAGGAAATATCATGGTGAGCAGACTGCAGACAGAGATTACATGAAACGTGTATCTTAACAACGGAAAATTAATGCAAGAAGCTATTTTAAGCAGTTCAATTACTCTAAATGCTGAGCTGACATTTTCTGTTGTCTCTCCCTTTGTGTAGTGGGGGTAACCTAGGATTCTGCAAAAAAAAACATTTAAGAACCTACAGTTGAAGTCTTTTCCAAAACCAAGTTTCTTCTGAGTGTAGAAGAGCTAGAAAGTTAACATTCCTATAGACTTACAAATCACTGAATTTGTCTGCCAGTCCATTGTCTCTCATTAATATGAAATGCACCCAACATACTGTCACAATTGCCATAAACCACAAAATGAGGGCTTGATTACAGTATCTTTTGGTTAAGGGAGGTTGCTTGTCTAATGAAATGTTAGTGAAGTGGTTTTGTGCTATTGATTGTTTGGTGTCAGGCTGTGAACCAGCTTGTATTTCTTTTTCCTTGAGTACCAACCTATTTGTAGAGTACTTGAATCAGCACACTTAAAAACTACAAGGTCATCTAGAAAGCTCAAACCAACTCCACAGGCAGTGGATATCACTCAGCATTTTTCCAAAGAAAGTGTGAAGTTCTGGCAGCACTCTTAAGGAAGCATGGAGGGGATATATTTGTGTATGAGAGCAGACCTGAAGAAAGACTGAATGAGGATGTTTTACAGTTTACTAACAATCTACAGTATTTGACTTCTACATCATTACTGTTCTTTACCCTTTTTGTGGAAATGTTAAGAAACACATATTCAATCTAAACTCCCCCCAAAAAAATACATTGGATGGAGTGTTTCTGCGCTTCAAAACTAGCTTAAAAACGCTAATGATCTGCTAATAAACTATATCCTTTGTGGTAACAGATGATTTTTGTATTACGTAAGTTTTATGACCCACTATTTTTTTGTACAATGTGCAAACCTGTCATAAAATCTTACCATCATTAAAGTATATGAAACTTTGCGGCCACTTTATGTTCTTTTATAGGTTTGTAACCAGATTTTAATGCGACAAACTTATGTACGGGATCTGTGAAACTATTGTAAAGTTGAAGGACAGTAGTGTGGAGTGGTTGGGTTCTGGGCTCAAAACGGGAAGGATGTAGGTTTGAATTGCAGGCGAAATACAGATCTTTGAACAATAAAATACCAAAATGTGTAAATAGGTAAGTTGCTTTGGACTGAAGCTGAAACTGTTAATTGTGAATTGTTGCAATGAATGTAACAAGCAAAAAGACACCCAAAACAGTGCAGGATCACCCTTAAATGAAAAGAAATACTTAAAATGCCTGTGGCTCGTCACTCACTGGGTTTCCATCAGGTCCTGGTGGTCCTCTTTCACCAAAATCCCCTGGAAACCCCTAAACAAACAAACAAGACAGAGGACTTAATTTTCAATCAATCAATCAATCAAGGTTTATTTGATTGCACGAACAAAACAGCATACAGCAGTGTTGCGGCAATGAAATGCTTTATCCGCGAGCTGGTTAAGAGGGACAGAAGAGTAGAAGGACAGATGTTTATAGGGATTAGGTTAAGACTGCGATACAACAAGTTATACAATTGCTTTTTACAATACAATTACGGATTGTGTGAATGCAACACAAGGATAGGAGGCATTTAGCACTGTGTCCTGAGAGTGAAAACTGACATAGGGCTCAAGTGGTGGCCTGTTTGCCAGCAGCTGTTTGGGTAACTGCAGGCGTCTGCTGTGGTTGGCTGTTTAGCAGTCTTATTGCCTGGGAGAAGAAGCTCTTATGAAACCTGTAGGTCTTGGTCTGTATACTTCGGTACGCTTCACTCTGGAAAATTAGTTTTATGGGCTATCTGAACAATAAAGAAGCGTTGCAGTGTGTGCGTTTTCTCAGCGCACCAGGTACAGGTACAGAACTGCTGTAGAAGGAATCTGCTCCATTTTCAGCCATTAAAAATACAGACCCATCTACAGAACAGTAATTATGTGGTTCGGTCAGTACCAAACCGCAAATGGTCAGCATGGTCAACCATAATTTCTATAAAATATGACATCGCTGTGGGAACTAAATAAGCACCTGTCTGGATATTAATCTTCCCAGGTTTTCTGCACCACAACATAAATATCTAAAAACAGTTGTACAACTACAACAACTAAAGTACTTCTGCCCTATAATGTGCAACTATTGTACTGTGAATAATATGTAATAGCTTTCTCATTAGATGTTACTGATGAACATTTTTAGAGTTAATGATGATTACCATAATTACAGTGGAATGAACTGATCATTTTTTCAACTAGGGCTTTAATCAACCAGTAATTCCCATTTCACTGACTTAGAATTGTACACACTTTGCATTAAATGGAAAAACTGAATACTAATGGCACTTGAATCTTCTTGCATGTGTCATTGATTATGGTCTACTCCATTCTTGTTTAATACTGGATTATAGCAACTCAAAGAGTATATGGATATTTCTTAATTAATCTTATGAATAAACACAGAGGATCCATTTTTTAACATATCAATCACTCCCTTATTTTATTAAGCAGACTTCTATAAAAAAAAGGCTGAAGAATTGATTGATGACCTAGACACACTATGACTAAATTATAAAGTGTGCTGTCTTTCTTAGTGCAATTAACAGAGGTATTTACAACAGCCAGGTCCATCAAAACCAGTGCAGGAAAGTTTATTAATGCCAGACTGGAATAAACTGGGTTCACATAGTGGGTTAGCAGATAGCAGTGCTGTATGGTTTCATTTCTAGAACTGGGGTGCTGTCTGTGTGGAGCTTGTATGTTCTCCATGTTTGCACAGGTTTTCGCCAGGTGCATCAGTTTCCTCCCGTTGTCTAAAGGCCAGCCCTTGTTCCTGCAGCTTGCCAGAATATGAAAGGATGGAAGAAACTGTTCACTTCAGGATTTTCGGAACATCAACTCCTTAAGAAAAAATCGATTATGATCAGTTGGTGTGGTGAAGGATCTGGTCAGAAAACAGTACTCAAAGTGAAATTTGATTTAATTAGAGCACATTTCAGTGCACCTCTGCTTTAAATGGTGCCGGGTTAAATGGCCTGCTTTAATTTGTCTGAATGCACCATCGAATTCAAGTTCTGCATAAATGAAGATAAATGAAATGGATGTTTAAACTGTGCAAGAATTAGCATGCAAACAGGGCAGAGCATGACGCAGAATGGGCAACCTTGCTATTCCTGTAGCAAAATAAACTCCTTTTATTTATGCTCTGGCAGCTCATGCGATCTTCCCAGTGCCAACAAAGTTTATAATCCTTTTTTCTGACTCTAACCTGGCAAGGGTTTGGTAGAATTACAAAGGAATTAATTCACAAAGCTGCACAAGCAGAAAAACATCACATCAAGCTGAATAAATCCCATTCTCTCCAACAGAAAGCACACGGACCACAGGAGTGAGGCCCCTAGTTTGGCAGTTCAGAGGAGGAAACCCCGCAAACTACTGGTAGATGACCGAGTCACGAGACTGGGATTTTCCCTGTTCCCTATTTAAAAGCCTACCTCTGAAAATAGAGAAACACAAACTGAGAAAAGAATAAGCATCTGATCCAATGCAGCATTAAAAAAATACAATGAATCCCATTGTGCAAAAGGCTACATACAAGACTTTTCATTTTAAAAATGAAATGTTAATAATGCCTATATGAGGCAACACCAAAAGCTTTACTAAAAACTCTAAATATTTCTCTGAAACCAAATAAAGGATGGATTTCTGTGAAATGAAATTATGTACCAGTCTCTTTGATAAGTAACTAGCTCAGCAAATTAACCCACATAATGTCTATACATGAACCCCCTGGAAAAGCCTTTTCTAACACATTACTGAACTACAACAGATGGAGAACAAAAGCTTTACATACAAAACTTAACAGACAAAAACCAAAACGTCCTATGGATTAAAGGCTCTACCTTATCTTTGAGATGCACTGAACTTAAGTGCTTACACACATTAACCGTTTAAAACCGATAACCTCACAAGTAGGTTGTGTTAGTAGAAAAGAAAACAACTTTTTTTTTTACCCTGCCAAAGCTTTTTAGGTTATAGGTCATATTTGAAAGTTTGTTGTGTGTGTGAAACAGAAGCTGATTTGCTGAAGCCATTGGGTTGCATCCTTGCAAAGACAAACTTCCAGCAATCTGCTGTCTAAAATTTACAATCTGCTCAAATTTATGAAATGCGCAAGATTTTCATTCTCTCCAGGCCAGCAGGAAATATCGCGGCTAAGATTTTTAGTATTCTGGCAACAACCCTAACCAGGAATACAAGAGAAAACTGATGACAAAGGTCTTTATAGCGGCATCATTTCATTCTCAGATTAAACGCGAGATGTAGAGAGAACAAGCCGAGTAAACATCTGGAAATTTGCTAGTCCGAGACTCCGTTCAATCACTGGCCAAAGCTAACTGTTACAGAACATTTATCAAGAATTTTCTGCACCATTTCAGAACTTTGAATTGTAATAAAAGATAACGGAAAGAGCAAATGTATGAAAGAGGTATGTATCAGAGAAGAAAAATCAGTAACAAAATGCCAGGAAACTGGAAATGTGCTACTCCTGCAAAAATATGCCATTACTTGCATTGCAAACTTTTTTGAAACATTTTTGCTACGTTGAACTTTTTGCAAACCTTTTTTTAAATATAATTCAGGACATCTTTGTAGAATTCTTAAAACACTACCCAGCACAGATGCATCATGTGTCATAATTGCTGAAATCATGTTATCATAAATTCTTTGCAGGAAGTAAATACAGATTGAACAGTGGTACATATTTTAACTGAATATCCCAAGGAAACTCAAATAAAGGAGATACAGTATGCAATCAAATGAAAAAGCCTTCATGCAATACAATAAGATAACATTAAAAAGTAGTTTGCAAAACTTTAGATTCTTATTAGTAGAACCTATATTGGTCCACCGTGATTTTTAACTAGTGTCCAAGAGTAATCGCAGAGAAACTGACCGCATTTCCAAAAGCCAAGCCTAACTGATGTCATTAGCACGGACTTGAGCTGAAGTTTAATGTACTAGCCTGCACAAATGTTCACTGGAGGAATATATGTACAGTAATGCTATGTCTTCGGGCCAGTAATTCACTTTAAAATGATGTTGTAATGAATGGGAACCTTCCAGGCGCATATTAACGAAAAAGACCCTGGCTGCCGTTTTTCTGGAAATCATACTCAACCAATGAGATAATCAATTAGCGATAATCTAAGCAAGAAGGAACTCCTTGGCCTGCTGCTTTTTTGCTTGATCAGACGTGACTGTTGCAGAGCAGCAAGAAGTAAGCATTTTCTTCCCACATGTGCATCTACAGCAGATGGAGGTTGCAACATTTCAGCTTCCCACAATATGTTTCTCCAGCCTAGCTGAGGGAGTTTGAATAGATCTCCTGTGTATTCGGTCTTCCACCTTTTGTTAATAATTAAATGTTCCAAAGGAGGTTTCTGTTGCCATGGGATATATTGCTCTGTTTATCCGAGCGTATAAAAAAGGGGAAAAAACAAAACTGGGAAAATCCATACAATGTGAACTCGGGTCTCTGCAACAGTGGAAAATGACCAGCTGTAAGGCAATTGCAAGCAGGATCCAAGGACAATGTGGGTCACAAGATGTCTTGTACAGAAATGCGAGGGTTTCATTAATAAACCTGCCATTTTTTCTCGGTTGAAGGCACATTTTGCTCCAAATAGACACAGTGACGCATGCAGTATACAGAACAGAAAGGTAAATTATCTCAAAGTGTTTAATTGTGGTCATTTTTTCTCTTTTGCTCTTGGCTGCAAAATTACATTATAGTAGTTTGAATTGCTGCCACTATTGTTAGCCTCACTCGCTGCTGAAAGGAGAGGAGAAACAGATGAAACTTCATGCAGTTTCAACATTTACTGCAAACACCATTAGCGACAATCTCAGTCTAGGTAGCTACATTATGGATCACACTACTACAGTAGTAGTACACATCCACTACACATCCATTCTTTGTCACTGGAACATCCCCCCACTGGGTGCACCTTTGCAATGGTTTCTTTAATCCCAGAGCACAAACTCGATTAAAATTTCTAGATGACGTGCATGACATTTCTTCTTCCTACAATCCAAAATGTTTTCTGTATGTAACTGAAAGCCTGTAGGTCACAGTCTGGAAAAAGATGACAAAGAAAAACATGTTTTCACTTAAATTTAGTTTCGGAAAATGATATATACTGTAGATGTGACTGGACATGCGGCAATGATCAATGCAGGGGATCATCACATAACCTCGCATGTGTTCAGCTGTGTAGTCAATGTACTACTCTTCAGTCCCAACATTTCCATCTGAAAAATGGATTTCCTTTTCCTTTTGCATGCCACCGTGCAGCGAAATTCCCCACTACATGAAGACGACTCCATTTCAAGACGGAGAAATAAGCTGAGTTGAAAAAAATAAAAGCCCGTCTATTTCTCAAGAGCTGTGGGTAGGTTCAAACATCCCTGAAAGTCTAAATCCAATCCTTGTGGATTTATAAGTATCCATTCAGCCAAGTCCGTGGATCTTACTGGGAGGATAGGGTGGCGGCACTGGCTTTGTTCCTCAAGGATTTCCGAAACTTTTTTTTTTTAGCTTTTTGTTGCACTACACTCCAGAGTAGTAGGAGGATCCCCATGGTTAAAAGAATGTACAGTCTGAAAATATCCTCCAAGAATGCGGGCTACTCCGTCTCTGACATAAAACCTTAAGGGGCTACAAATCATCCGCTTTGGCAGACTTTCTTGGCCGCACTGACTTGGGGGAACAATAGTGTTTCACCATCGCTGCACTCTGGATGAGGCATCAGGGAGATGATGCACTGACTGGAGGCACTGGTTCAAGCGGAAAGAGTTGAATGGCCTTCATGCAAAAAAAAAAACTTGCACCCAACCATGGCATTCTCTGCAGAAAATGATCCAATTCACCGCAGTAGAGCTCCAGTTTTTGCTCCACGTTGGATTTTGTGTCTTTCTTTAAGCTGGAGAACCTCCCGTTGGAGATTTATTTTTTGGTAAGGATTTTCTTCTGCATATCTCAGGTCAGATATTTTTTTTCTGCATCTTATAATCAACTACTCCCATGTGGAAACCATGTTAGAAGTGCTCTAATTTTCCAGGACACGGTCTCAAGGACTAGAGGCTCAAAAGTCTGTTTTACAATGTCGTTTTATCAACTGTTAACTTTTTATACTGAAACTCAGGTAAGGGTTTTGTCTTTGAAGTTGCATTTAAGTTATGCAACTTAAATGAAAGGTACAACTGTTTAAAACATACCTCCATCAACGTCCTGTAGCAATACCAGTATCTACATATGAAAAACCTTTTCCTACAGTTCATCTGTGCTCCATGTAACAGGTTAACAGTGGAGATCAGCACTGCATGGGTCCATTAAACAAGCTGATTGCTGTACTAGTAGACTTCAATGGGTTCCAGTGTTGTTTGACAAGAAGCAGGTCTCTGCGGTATTATGAACTCACTTTCACAGGCTGTGGATACTATAGTATACTGCACAGGAAGCTTAGGAACACTATTAACAGGAAAATGCACCAACTCCCATGGGAGTTTACAGACGCTGCAATTATTTTGCTCCATGTTCTCCAGAACGCATGCAAAAAGAGTCATTTGGAGGTCACCTCAGCTTCAAACTTGCCATTTACAAACCTGGAACTGGTTTTCCTGTACTTAAACAATGTGTGGCCTGACACATTTATTTATTATTCGTGTTTCTCAGTCCCAGTTTTATCATGAATTAAATTAAAGAATTAAGAATTAAAGTCATTTTGTTTTTAAATCTTTTCTATGTAATATTTAGCTTTCTGTCTCATTCAGTCAGTCAGCTAACCAAGACTACAAAAAAAACTTGGATGAGTTCACCACTGAGCAACTGTCCACTCAAGTAACATATACAGTACCTCTGTAGACTATGACAAGATTACAGCTTGTAAGGAAAAGACAACAAAAATGCATTTTTGCAGAATAATACGTTTGAGAAACAGACGTACCTGTAAACAGAATCTTCAATAGGATAAGGAATGACAAAAGAACCAGAAGTTAAAGGCTTAAGACCTGTAGTATAACAACAATCCTGATTTTTGTAGTGCTGTCTTTGTCTCCTAAACAGAGACACTAAAGCGATAACTACAAACCGAATGATTTTTCACAGATTTTTGTTGCGTTGATTATGAAAATGAATCTTATTGAATCTGATCTTTGAAGATATATTAAAGTTATTGTAAGACACTGGCAATACCACACTGATGAGCACAAATAAGGACAAAGCAGTGGTCTGCAAGGGCTTGTCTTGACTAAATACAAGTACAGTACAATCATTCTGAAGCAGAACGACTGTTTTAGCAGACTGCAATCAGCTTATTAGCTCTCTGAAGTCATTCCTTAGGTAAGAAACAGAGCAACTGGGGCACTTTCTATTCAAGAATTTTTTAAAGAAACAAAAGGCTGAAAAAATAAATACATGCTTTTGCATTTGTGCTTAATTTTCTCACTGTGCCTGCAGCACAAGCAGTGTCGTATCACTGAAGCTGACTGTAAGGACTGCAGGATCTCAGAACTCAGAAAGAACTCAGTCAGAGGCTTGGGGAGTACTGGCTACATTCCACCCCAACAGACTTTTCATCCAAAAATAGGATTAAGTTTCCCTCTTGGCACAGACTATTTTTTTTCTTTAAACAAAATCAGGCCCTGTCAGTGCAGAAAAAAAATACCCGATGGCCGATGGTCAATTAAATAAAATCTCTGCCAACTGGCTCACATCAGGTGAAGGTTTGCCCAGTGCGTTTTCTTTGAGTGAAAGGAAAGGGCCCTGAAAAAAAGAGACTACTGTATGTATTATTACCATATTATGGATAGAAGACAATAAATCTTTCTTCTTTGATATAGGTGCCCCCGTCTCAGTTTCAGAAAGGGCAGACAACCTGATAAATCCCCTGTCACCGAGCCAACAGCACAAGAAGCCGGTCATTAGCGACACACTTCCTGTAACATGGCTACAGAAACCTTTGCCAAGCAGAAGAGTTGTTCTGAAAAATGTGGTCAGCTTAACTGAAAAAGTCGACTACAGCAAACATATTTAAGGTGGAGCTTATAACAGCCTGGTTTGTGAAAAATGTAAAGAATGGTTGTCAAGATCTTAACATTACATGTAATTGCATTGAATAATATCTAATTATCACTAAATCTTTATATAATATCTAAGACAGGGATTGCTTATTATTTTCTCTCCATTTTAATGCACCACTTCAGCACATCTGATAGCAAATAGAAAGCTGTCCTGACAACGATGGGTGATACGATTAACAACTATTTTTACAATGACTTTAATGTAACAACTACAGCTAAGAACAGTAGGAACTCTATTTAAGCAGCGAAAGATTCCCCTGTATTTAAGGAATCCAGATTTTTAAAATAATGTTCCAGCTTTTCCACATGATGAAAATCGAGAATTGCTGTGTATGTTTTTAAACGAGCAGATCTGAGTGGTGAGCTCCACACTGAAACAGAGAAAATATCCATTCCAGCCAAAGGCTGCTGTTAAAGGGAAATCATAAACCACTGGTAAAGACCAGAATATCATTTGACCCCCTAGTGTTGAAGGCTAGGTGGTGCTGTGGAGCAGGAAAAAATACTTATAAAGTCATTTGCAGGGTTCAAGAAAAGCTCTGGTCATAAATAAAATATAGTAATGGTTTCATCCAAGTCTCGAGCTCTCCTTATTCCTTACAATTCAGACCCACACCACACAGTTCGAGTCTAAAACACAATGGATGCTGACACTGAGCATCTGTAAATCACAAATTGGTCTCCTTTAGGGCCAGGAACTGGTTTAAATACTTAATCAATACCCTCTCTCCCAGGGCGAGCTCTATTGGTGTGGAAATAGCCACACAATACCATATGTGTAACTGCTATTTTACCAGGACTGAATTTCCCTTTAACTTTTTTCCAGGGCCTTGCATAGAATTATTTCCCTCAAAACTGAAAGCAACAGCGCGAACGTGAGAAGAACTTCACATCATTCTTTTCAGGCTTTGAAGACCATTTGCTTTAAAAAACAATTTGCTGTAATGGTAAGGGCAATAAATTAAGGATTTTGGAAGTATTGCAGTTTATACAGGTCAAGTTTGAACTATAGTGCAACACACGGTAAAATACTGGAATACCTTGTCCAAAGCTTAACTGTAATCACAGGAATAAATTAAAGAAGCATGGTAACTTTACTATTCATCACTGGATTCACAATGACTAAATGTAATATTTTGAGATTTCAGACATTTAATTTGTAGGCAAACATGAAAGAATGTACAAGTAAAGCTTCACTTAAGTCGCTTCTCAAAAGAACATTTGGCAAATAAGGGGTAGGCAGGGGGAGTGTGATGAATTGGGTGGCATGTAAACAGTATTAACTTCTTCACACAACATTGAATACATGTTTAATGAGGGGCATTTACTAAACATGTGTAGCCTTCTTCTGGGTTTGAGAAAAAGAAAGGCTGGAAAGTGTTCAAAGTATGACTCATGTAAGCTCTTTCTACATTAATCTTGGCTTTATTACATCATTTTGGGGCCCACTGCCACACACTAAGAACACAGTGGAAAAAAAAAAACTTGCTCTAATACATACATTAAGGACTACACTCTTTAAGCAGCACAACAAAAATGTTTTGTTAATTATGCTACAGTTAGCAGGAAATAGCCATCATCAGCATTTTAAACCACCATCAACCATTTTTATGGCTCAGATCATTCACTGGAGGTCCACTATTCCGAACAGCAGGATTTCAATCATATAAAAAAAATGCAATAGTTATCTATAAAGTATGTTGAGAGAAAACTTTACCGGCCTACCCATCTTGCCCCTCTTCCCCGGAACTCCAGGAATGCCCTAGAAGAGGAGGAGAGAAAGAGAAGCAATCATTTTAATGTAAAACTCCGGTTTGTGCAGACGACCGAGATGGAGATCGAAAAGAAATGCTATTCTGTGCCCTGAGCACAATTCAGCTTTGAGCTGCTTCCACACTGAAATGGAAAAACAACATAAAACTAAAAATAAGAATTTTCTAACTAATAATAGCGGGCAAAAAAAAACCCCATCGCCGATTTAATCTAAATCAGCCCCGTCACTGCTCCTTAGCTCTAGTCACTGATATAATCCAGTTCAGCATAGATGTTTTAAATTCCAACACCATTTGATCCTGTGTAAATATTATGAAAGGAACCTGCTGTTACACCTAAGAATTTGCCACAGTTCTCCATGTCTGGAGCATGTGATCTCTACTAAGCCCTTTCATTGCATCTACACTTCCTGTCAGAGAGGCACTGTGTGTTGTCTCTTGCCTCAGTGCAGATAGGACCCAATTTGACGTTCATCAAAAACACTTCTGTGTTTCTCAAGACAGAAAACAACCATAACAAAAGGCCAATGATTGTTTAATAAATCTTGAAATATGTTGTATCTGATCAAAAGCATGCACAGAAAGCAAATAATCAGAGTGTGCTGCTTACTCCCCATAATCTTTTCACTCACTTTTCAATAGAAGGCCTCGAGCAAAGCAAAATATGTGGTAAATCAATAGATAAACTAAGAAAAGTTTCAACTGAATTATTATTATACGTTCATTAAAAGAAACTCATCTTAATCTGAGTTCCAAATGTTTCAGATGCAGATATGAAAAAAGAATTAAACATGACTACATTTCAGGGAGACATTTTGCTAAAACATTTTTACAATGGATGACCATATATACTGTAGAAGACATTCAGAGATAAAAGTGTACTCTCAGACTGTTGTAGGGCAAAACAGGAATCAGGAGTCTGCCCTCAGAATCTGGGACAATGGTGTCACTAGGGCGTTGTATTCACTGTATCTGTGAAGAAGACCAGGAGGCCCTTGGGATTTTCAGATACACAAACACCTCAGTCAATGGAAATGAAAACGGGGGGGGGGCCACACTTACTCTCTCACCATCAGGCCCAGGCAGGCCGAAAAGCCCGGGTATACCTATAAAACCCTGCAGAGAGAAGGGGAGAGAAAAGGCATGAGAGTAGCTCTTAGAAACTGAAGGCCTCAGAAACGCCCCTACTTCTACGTCGGTCAGTCTTTCTCAGAAAGCGGCGGGATGCAGGGAGGTCTCCGTGAAGAACTAAGCCTTGAGGCAAGTGTATATGCCCATGGACTGCATGGTGCTGGCTTCCACGATGTAGTCCAAGGGCACATACCCTCACACCAGGGATCAATGGAGTTGTCCACATGTGCTGCTCACGGTGAAGGAGAAAAAGGGATTAGAAAGAGGGACAAAGACAACAAATAAGGAAAAGCACACTGTCATGTTCTTTACATACCAGCCAACACTGTTAAAATTGGTTTGCATGCTTTAGTGATTCTAATGCATTCTTTATATGCTACTGTATGTACTCCTGCATACAAGATTAGAATGTAACTGTACATTATCGGCACATATCAAAAGTAATTTACATGCACTTATTCTAAAAGATTATGGCCTCCTACAAAGCCATACTGTAATTCAAGGTGAAACACTGACTCAATGTGGAATCACACCTGAAGGTTTTTCTTTCCCATCAACAGTGGGGCTCAGATATGAGCTACAGTACATGATGGAAATTGGACAGCATCAGTTTGAGAGCTATCATGAAAGCAGACTGCTAGTGACACCATGCTGAGGATCTTCTATGAGATGCAGGCTTTTGCACAAATACGTCCTCCTATCTTTGCAAATTTAAAATAAGGGAACAAGAACGCAGTTTTCAAACACATGATCTCGTCTTATTTAAGAGCTCACAACATCTGCAAAAGCCCAGACTGCACAGAAAAGAATGGGAGCATGTTTTGTTTTCCAAGGAAAACCTCGGCATTAATACTATTAGTTCGACCAGTTCTGCAGAAGCACAGGAAGCTCGAGGCTCCAAGGTCACTGTCAGTGAGTCACATCTCTCTGGGACAGAGACTACACTAAAAAACCCACTTGGCAACTCCTTGCAATAAAATTAAACAGTAAGCTTTTAAGGGTAAGAGTAAGCTTTTTGACATGTTATTATTCTAAACGTTAGAACCCTAGAGCACTTTATTAAATATTTAAAAGAAAATCTGTGCTTGCCCCAAATGTCCTTTAAAATTTATGTTTGTTTTACCCAATTTTGCTTCTTAAAAAATTCCACTCCACCTAAAAGTAGTCTTCCTTCAATTATATAAATGCTCTAAAAGCAACAATGGTTTTAACTTTAGAGTCTCTAGACTGTATGTGCATTATTCTATAATCTTTTTGGAAGCGCTTTTAAACAAGCAGAAGCAAAAATGCTTGGCATGTAAAATGCGCAAAATAGTGTTCTTCTAAGAGATACTAGTTATCTCCTTTGTTTCATTACTTTTTCACCAATAATTCCACTTTTTTTCAAGAATACAAATCTAAGGCCACATACATTAAATAAGTGCCTGTGAGGACAGTCTGAAGTTAGCACTTCCTTTAAACAACTTACTGCTGGTGTCTCATACCAAGAAGCAGCCAATTATACACTCTGTTATGCAGTTCTTAGGCACAGCACCTGACAAACCCTTTAATAAAGAGCTTATTCACAGAACAGCCCCTGTATACAGCACAGACTCAGTCACAATGAAAACAACAACTACGCTGTAATTGAGTAAAAAAGTCATTTTGAGTGTCAAATAATTACAATTAAACAGCTGGCATGCTCAGATAAACAGAACCTTTTTATATATTTATTTGTTTAGCACATGCTCTTATCCAGGGTGACTTACAAAATACCAAGAAATATAAAGCAAATGACAAAAGTCATAACTGAATGTAACATTAATAATTGGGCATTTTTTGTAAAAAAAAAAGCACAATGAAATGTGTAGGCATCCCCATTTTCAAGCTGACAGGAGTCACTCACATGATAAATAAGGAAAATAAACTCTTCTGCCACTCTGCTCAGAACATTCTTGGAGTGTGGTAACCGGCCTAACCTAAATATCACTGAAAGCAATAGTTAGTGTCAAGGCTCTAACCCGATAGCTTTTGGATATTCCTTTCATCCAGCAGCATGTAATAAGCACAGACCTAATATTTTTTTCTGCATCCAAGACACACTCCTTCTGTGCCAAGTTTCCTTGTTTTCACCTGCTCTCATAATTCACTAGCAGGAAAAACCTCATCCATATAAACTGCTGCACAGGTACCAGAACATGAACCGTACCTGGTTTCATTACTCAGTCTGTGGGCTTTGTGCTCATGTGCCCATCATATTCAAAGTACATAATTCGCTTCCAAATCCTTTAAACATAGTAGAAATGTGATCCTTACAGACCCAAGGACACTGAATACATTTTAACCTCTTAACTTAAAGAAGCTACTTACTGTAGATCTTTCTACACATGCTGGAGTTTGGTTGGAATTTTCAGGGCATGCATTTTACTTCTGGGCAGAAAACCTCTATTCTTACTTTTAAAAATTAAAATCACTAGTTACAACCTGTAATGTTCCTGAATTTGGTTAAGTCGAAAACAGATACTTACCATATATTTAACTTGTCATTTATTTCACTGGATAACAATGAAAGCACCATGACTATATTTCACATACTGTACACACACTGGATAATAATTTCATTTCTATAGATGGATGTACTGAACCCCAGACATTCCTAGAGGATGGATGCCATTTACAATCATGGAGCTTATACGGAACAATTTCTGGCTTTTAAGAGAGGTAAAAGTGCTCAAGCTGATGTCATTTCAACTGATGGTAATCCCACTTAAACCACTTACGGTTACCTTCTGTTTGCACACAGGTTTAACACACCACTCTCAACAGAGTAGCTACCTCAAGATTTCAGCTAATGCACACTAGATTCATCCCATCATTAAAGTGTCAGCATCCTAAGTTTTCCACTGCTCCCCAGTGAAACACAAGAGATACAAAGCCTGCATCTCAGGTTCCCACCCAGACGACTGTAGGTGAGAGTGAGCAGTAGACAGGAGACCTGCTTGAGACCATTGGGAAAGTTGAGCACTATGGTCAACTGCAGGTGCATCACTGGAATGGTGCCAGACTTTGATGTTTCTTTTCCCAGTGTTTAAAAAAAAAATCACCAGTGAGAGGTAGAATGGCAATGTAATGTAGGTATTTAATGAACATGGTGGAAAAAAAAATTGTCTCGTTTCTGCCACAAAACATTAAACGCTTGTATTACTTACTCGAGATCCTTTAGGCCCAATATCTCCTATAGGCCCAGGTAAACCCTAAAACACATACAAAAAATAAGGCAGGAGTTGGATGGTTATACTGAACACTAGGAATATACAGTTTAAATTCAGTTAATTAGGAAAGCAAACTGTGGAACATGAAACCTCTAATCAGATGATGTCCTACAGTTCACTTACGGAAATGTATAAATAATATTCTTGACCTATTAAAGCTACTGAAGATAAGATGAAAGCAGATATGCGTAATGATACCATTTGTGTTGATGTCTGCAGAAGTTAAAAGTCGTCTAAGTAAAGGATTACCTACTACAGTAAAAGAGAGACTACAGGATTACAAACTAATATTGGACGATTACATCTGCACACACACTTATAAAGAAAATGTATCTAAATTTTATAATTTAATTCACGTTAACATTTAACAAACAACACAACGGGCAAAATAGTGAACGGCAATGCAATAATCTGGATGTTTCTCAGTACTATTTAGTAGTCAAATTTTAGGACATTTAAGTAGGAAGGATCTTATCAAATAATTTACACCATGTATTCATGTTCAATAATATCTTCAAAGTTTCCCTGGACAGAAAACAAGCTAGTTGAAGTGAAATGTAATCCCTCAGGAATTCAGAAATAGCTATCTGGAAATTCAAACGATACTCTACAAATATTAATTTAGAATTAAATTAGGATATAATTATATATAAATAATAGTTTTATTGTCTTCTAAAGTTTCAGAACTAAGTTAGAGCTATACTGTTTCTTACTGTTCAAACTTTTTTTTCATGTTCTGTTGGAATGTAGACCACCCTCAAAGACCACTTTGTGATCATAAATCCAGTATTTCAGCTCAGTTCTGTTAATTCATCTGTATTTATACATTCATTTTTTACTATCCGTCAAAATGCCATTCATTTAAGAGAGTAGCCTCATTAAAAAGTTTACTTTTGTGTAATTCCGCTTGTAGCATTTACTGCCAACACATTGCTGTAGTTTAATTTTAGGTACATTTCAGTGGCTGTCATCCATGTGATTTCAAAATACCTACTTACCTCCCATTAAAATGTTTCTGTTCAACTCCAATTACTGAAGTGAAAATTTAAAAAAATGCCTTCTCCTTTCTACTAAGTGAGCTCCATAAGCCACTATTACATTTTCATTGAAATGGTCTTTCAGATATTCTACAAATTAGGTGTCACCATGAGCAAGAACTTTCCTTCTTGAGTTTTGAATGGTAGGGGGTGCTAAAGACTAATTCATGGGGTGTAAAATAGGTCTAACTCCATGTGGAATGTTTCAGAAATATCAAAACATACAGAATGGTATACCGTAATATCACAGTACACAGACAAAGTAGATTGAGGAAACACTTCAGGAAGAATACCTGGTCTGCTGCTGCCAATGCAATGTATTATTTCACGCATATTTTGAAGTGTACATTTCTCTTTTCACCACTTTCAACGGCAGAAGCAGAAGAACTTGAGATGAGAATGAGTAGGATTTATAGCCCCTGTGAAACCGATTGGTAAATTGGACAAAAAAAGCCCCTTTACTTCACAGGAGGGCTGTGTCAGTAGAGTATGAATCAGTCTGCCAATAGCTGGGGAAAAAGATAACTACTTCTGGCTCCTGCAAGTTTCCTATTGTTATGCCACCAAGCCTTAAGAAAAATAACTTTTTTTTTATTTCTAAAAAATATCTATACTGAATAACATCAGCATTCAGTATTTACACCACAGGTCTAAATCGCTACAAAAACTAGTAAAATTCTATCATTTTCATTTGAAAGAGTAACACATTTCTCAGCCGCATTTACATCAACGTGTTACTACTGAAAAGAAGATTTTTAATCAAATCTATGAAAGAAATGGTAGCCCTTTTTTTGTTGTTTAAAATGTTTATTCTCTTGAACAACAACCTATTTTATCTTTTAAAAATGTAGGGCTGTTATGTAGGCGAGTTGTACTCTCCACTAACGGCCCCGTGTTTCAAACCCTTCCCCATGTCCCACCACACTCAAATTGCTACTTTGTGCATTTAGCCAGCACAGCATCTTAAGATTTACTGCACCTGCCTGCCAGGATAACCTTTGGCACCTGGGCTTCCATCTGGACCTCGCTCCCCCTGGGGAAAGAAAAAAAAGCCATTTGTCCCAATTAACTGGAATACTGTCCACGCGGTCTGTGACGGATAGCTCAGTAAGACGAGCTACAAAATGAGATCAGTGCAAAAGCCGAACCAAAAGTAAAGACCTGTGAAGTCCACGATGCTGGACTAGGACCTTGCTATAAAAGGCCTTTGTTAGTCCAATATTGTTTTTGGAAGACTGGGCGCCACCAGAAGTAAGGTGTTATTTTCTTGTTGGTTTTTCAGACGAGTCTCGCTATATTCAGACCATCTGGTACTGTTTCAGCAGGGGGAAAAACACCCCTGCCAAAATTCTTTAAGTGCAAATGTGTTCATGTATAACATCCTTTGACATGGCCCTGACTTTAGAACAGCCACCTATTCATGAATGCCCCCAGTACTGAAGGTTTTGGCCACACATATAAAGATGGATTCAAGTTTGGTCCTAGAGAAAGGTATCCTTTATCCCACTGTTGCCCAAATGTTATCTTTGTGTCACAGGAATTACAATAACATGAAAGGGATGCTTAAGCATTTTGTCATCTCAAGCCTCAATACTTCTAACACCCAATTTCTGCTGTGCTCTTCCTTAAATTGTACCACTACCATGAAGTGTGAATTAAATTTTCCACCAAGCAATATCCCCAAAAAGTACTTGTGGTGTTAATTTGCTTAAAGGGATACTGATCATTGCAAAAATAAAATCAACATAAAAAGTCTAATCTTTCTTTCATGACTACAGCTTAGCAAGTGTAAACTGTGAAGCTAATGTTATTCCACTTAAAATGAAGTGCAATAAGTGTTTTACAAAGTTTAAACTGTAATGTACAAATGCCTTGTGGTAGAAATCTGAGACATTATGTTATTGTCAAAAGGTAAAGAAGTTAAAAAGAAAATAGGCCTTGATATCAATTTCTATTGGGATTTGACATGAGCACCTGTACTAGCTAATAAAATCACCTAAAAAATGACCAAGAATTCCTTTAGGACTTCTGGAGCTTTTTGAGAGCTATATCTTTATCTAGAACGTATGGCTTAGTCAGCAAGCAGCAGGGGAGCACTTGCTTCTAAATCTTGCGTAAACATTTTGCATTCATATAGACCGCTTGAAATCTCTCGTTTAACTGAAATCCCTGAGTCACCAACACCAAACCCACACCCACCCACTCCCTAGAACTTGAGCAATCTGTGGAAAGCACCCAGACTCTCAGCATCTACACTAGGTATTTGTCTTCAATGCCTCTTTTTATAAAGGCAAACTGCTTAGAATAGATTTAAGTAGCTTCACTCCCCTTGTTCCGTTATTTCAGAACTTGTGTCTAAAACTTACCCCATGACCACTTTTTTTCCTGATGCTGCTGTTGCAATTTATCAGATTTTAATGTACCCGGCATGTGCAAGATGCATTTTTTTATCTTGCATGGGGTTATTGGACTTCCAATTACTATGGAATAGCTGAAGGAGTTGGTTTGAAGGGCTAGTGTTGGAGTGATAACAACCTAAGATCTTTCCAAACTAACATTCACTGTTAAGCTACTGTACAGGCTTTCCCCCAGAGTATTTTAAAGTAGAAACACCATCTCATATAAAAATTCCAGCAGTCTTTAATTCCTTCTCCTCCCCAGGCATCAAAGAACAGAAGAGGTTACTGGCTTGTATTTACGATATATTTCTGCAAGCTTGAAGACACAGGCTTCAAATGAGACAAGGTCATTTGACTCCCTAAATCTGGCGTGTTGGCAGATATTCACCGATCTCAGATCTTTCATCAAAGCCATCTTGTTGAAAGTAAAACACCCCCCCCCAAAGAACCTTCAATTACAAACAAAATAAGTGACCCAAGACATTTCAGGAACCTGCAAATCTACTCACTGGTTCTCCTGGATGCCCTTGGAGACCAAGATGACCCTTCTGTCCCTGGAAAGAGAATAAAATGTTAACATGACTGCAGTGCAACACATTGCTTTACTCCTTTTGGGGAAAAGAACAACAACTCTGTGCTGCACAAATATGAACAATTACATGACCTATGCAATTGGCATTTTACATGTTATACTGTACACCTGTGGCCCTAATATGTGGAGACTCTGCTTTGGCTGCAGATTGAAATGCCTGGGGGGAACACTTTATTGGACATGTTAAATTCAGAGGCACATTAAGGGATACTAACAGTAAACCAGAAAAAGTGCCAAAACAAACCATACATACTGTGTATAAATATACTGAAATACACTTGTGCAAGCTTGTTTCGCCATCAAATGACCAATTAACACTTTTAAATATATTGAAAACATTTTAAAATGTAACATGCAATAATATTTTGCCATGTAGGCCATCACAAGTAAAGAATGGACAAAATAATGTGCCAGGATATTGAAAAGTAGCAGCAGGTCCAAAGACCACACTCAGTAGTGAAAACTAGGAAAACCAACAATCATATTCCAAAACCACAAGATGGAAAAACGATCAATTTCTTTCAGTAAACAGAGAGCACTGGCAAGTCCAGAAAGATCTGATATCCTTCTTCAAGGAATGGTGATATGTTTTGCTACAATGAATACTTCCAATGAGCAAATCTTGAGCACAAGTTAATTGTTTCCCTAAAGAATGGAGTTGAGATCACTTTTCCTTTATTTATGCTTAAAGTGAGTCATTTAAAACTGCACAATAATCTGAGAGCAATTCATTAGGCTGGGTTACCTTTTCAAAATAATTACAAAATAAGTGCAAAATATTTGATTCAACTATGCAAATTTTCTGTTTGTACTGTATATCACTGAATATTACCATGTACTTCTCATGCCAATATTTTACTGGCTAGAGTGTCCAGTAGTTAAAATAATCTTCTTACAACAGGGACCTGATTCAAAGCCCATTTCCTCCACTGGTTGATTCTAAGAAACTTGTGTTCAGACAATGCAAACTAATGTCATACTATACCTCCTTTTCTGTGTACATTGCTTTGGAGAAGCATAAATGGTTTATTTTTTATTAAAACATAGTAATTCAAGCCACAATAAAAGGTCAAGGCAGAAATCTCAAATGCAAATTAAATTCTAACTAAATCTTCCGAATTCAGACAACAGGTATAGTAAGAAAAATTGAGAATTTAGTTTGGGTGAGGATAAACCGCTACAAGTCATTGTACTGATCTTAAATGCCCACTTAGGGAACATTACTCTATTTTGCTATATTCCCCATAGACTGTACTCGTTTGTACTGGGATCAACATCCCCACACTGGAAAGAGACAGTTCAGAGTAGCTAGTCATCCCTAACCTGCATGCTCTTGGGAAGGTGGGAAGTAGCCAGAGTCCAGTGAAAACCCATTTGAACCCAGGAAAAGGGGTGCTCCACACAGAGAGGGGGTCGAGTCCAGAATCAAACCGAGGATCAGGAAGCTGCAACGCAGGGGTGCTTATAACCACACCACCATGATAACTGGTTGGCAAAGTCATGACTGGTTTGGCTGAAGTTGGTTGGCTTGGAATCACATTCCCTGTGGACACGTCAGTTGTGAAAGTCTACAACAAGAGACAGGAACTTGCTGGTTTTAATCTCAGATGAACCAGAATAAGATGAAAAGCAGAAAGCTGCCAGTTCAGATTGCTGTGGGCTTGAGTACTATTTTGTATATTCTGAATGCGGTAAATTTGACTTTCCAGCCTTTTCTGGAAAGGTTGAGTGCACGTCTGTGAAAGTTAAATTGATTAAAGAAGCTTGTACTTGGGGATTGCCAGACCAATCCAACATTGTAGCAGTTCTGTTAGCGATGTGCCCTGTGACTTTTCTTTTGATGAATCCCCTACTTATACATAAAACAAAAAGCTGAAGTGAGTAATAGCAATAGGAGCTGAAACTGTTTTCTCAGCAATAGGAGCTGAAACAAATGTTTGAGAAACATCTGTAAATAATCTCTGATTGTTGATTCATTGAAAAACATCCCCGCAGAGCTAGCTAGGTACTACATAAACTTGAACTATTTAAAAGTGCACAGTTGGATTGGTTCATATTTAATTATCTTACTATAAATAACTTGTCTAGATAGCACATTACTAAAAAAATATTTTAAACAACTGCACCCCTATCAGTAGTACAGTGGAACTCCATTAAATTCTCCAATTAAATGAGTCATTTCTGAAGGATCATCCCAGAAGATGGATTTTGAAAAAGACTGAATTACAATTTCCTCCTAAGGTTGTGTGGTTTAAATATCTACAAGTTCTTCTAGTAAGCCTTATATAAAATGCAAGTTTCAGCTTTTAACTAATGTAATAAATAAACACTTTTTTCATAGCATTTATACATTTTGTATGTATACTGTACTTCACGTTTCTTACAACCCACATGCAAAACCTTGCACTTTCCTACATTCAACACCACCGTGTTGAAGATAAAATGTTATCATTTGCTGCTTCTACAGTGCTAGCTGTCTTTTAATTTATCATCTGCATCCCTGACTAGCTTGCTAACTGTACCAGAAACAAAAACATATATAATATAATATATTGATATAAAATAAGAAATGCAGTGAAACTAGTACACATCCCACCGCTAAACTATTAATTACTTTACCCCAAATGTGAGTATTTACCTCTTATCAGAATTAGTACATCAGCCATTGCTCTTTCATTGTCTAGAAGTTTCCTGTTTCTGTCTATATATATTTTTACTTCATTTGCTGTTGTATTACTGAAAGAACATTTATTTGGTCTTCCATAGCAACATTCCTTTAAATGTCTCTTTTGGCCTTTATGTCCTTTTCACCTGTGCTTGCAATTCATTGGACTCTTTTCCGTTAACTGTCTCCTGCTGTTTTAATCAGTTTATGAAATGCTTTCAACTTCCCTTTTATTTTTCCTAATTGGACCATTTAAGATACTGTTTTTCAGCTTTTGATTAACTCACTTTTGGGGAAAAAGTCAGTCTGTACTCCAAAAAGAATCCATTTCATTTTTTCCCCATCCGTTTTCCACTTTATATCTGTCCTATTCCATTTCACTACTCTTAAACTATGTCTTAAAAAGCGTGCATTCCAGAAATTGTAAATGTTTGCTTTGGACTCAACCTGTACAGCTTCAAGGCACACTATTACTAATTGATCACAATTTCGTAATGGTTTTCTCACCCCTGTTTTTCTCACTTGGTCTTGATTGTTTGAAAAGTCAAGATCTGAAGAAGAATTTCCTCTTGCAGGAGTTCTGACAAACTGGGTAAGACAGCCATTAACCATGCCTTACATTTCATTTTCTCCTGCTGATATTTCTAAAGGTCTTTGCCATATGTTGGGAAAGTTTAAATCTCCCATAAAAAACTACTACCTCTTTTGCACATAAATTATTAATTTTACTATACAGTGTTGACTAGAATTCAACATATGTATATAGCATTATATAGCATACCCATAACACTATACTGTTTTTAAATGGGTCTGACCTACAGATTCAGAATCTCTTGAATCCTCTAGCATACATTTGGGAACCTGAATACTCTATTCCTATTTGACAAATAGGCTTCATCTTCCTCTCTTCTTTCTCTGGAACAATGTGTATCCACTTATGTGACATTCCACTCCATTATTTTTGGTTAGTCATGTGATACAGAGTGTTTATGAAAACCTTTTAACAAAAAACCCACAGGAATATATTAAAGTGGTAGGAAAAGAAAACTTGAAACCTCTTTTGGACAGAGTTACCCTAAACTATCTTTATAACGCTATGCTGCTTTTGGTAAAAGGAAATTTGGAATTTAATTCTCAGTCACCCTCTAGGGTAAATTTAAAGGGTGTTATGGCAGACAGAGCTATTGTTTTCTATTCCACTGAAATTTGGATCCCACTACAATAGCCTGCAAGGCAGACGATCCCAAATAAGTAATATGCATTTAAATACTGGTTATTTAATAATTCTATTGTATCTGTGTGAATTTAGTTCTTTTAGACATCATCAGTGATAAACTCCAACATGGAGTCTCATCATCACTCTTACTAAAAGAGCAGTTTCTATTTGTGGTTTTATTGTTACTTCCAGTACTGCACATCCCATACTGGAAGTATCTTTGTGCGTATCTTTGTCAATGACATTCCAACATTATCGTCTCACAGACTTCATACTCACACAGGTTTACTAAAGGAACACTGCAGTGCCTCACGTGCATGGCTTTGTTTCTTTCCCAATATTGTTTTTTTTTTTAAACTAAAAACACCTGTGAAGCGTATTGGGTCAATTCCAAAAACATTTTTTGACAAAATGCATGCAGCAATTTTGCCTCAACAGACAAATCACCGATATTTGCCAACTGTGCTGGAGCGATCCAAAAGCAGACAGGAGGAGAGCACAATACTTACCTGCTGCACTAAAATTCTGTGCTACTCACTCCTGCATGCTGTGGCGTATACTGCAGTTATGAGCCAGTCCATTGTCATCTGCCATGCAAGATGGAACAGCAGACAGACAGAGGAAACAATTGCTCTTTTTCTTTGTAATTCACTGACTCTCCCTATTTTTCAGGTGTAGAGAACTCCCATTTATGTACATGTGTTCACTAAGTCCAAGGTGTCAAAGGGTTGTATTAAATTCTTAGTGCAGTAGCTCATCTATAATTATCAATTCCCCCCAAAACCACCCCTCCAAGGGAAATTCATGTGCTGTTTTTTGTCAGAGCTTATTAAGTGTTTGAAAATCCAGACAAGTTGACAGCATTTCTGATGACTAAGTGCTTTCTGCTGCTGAAACACCCTGGATGCAATTTGCTCATCTCTGATTCAGACCCCTGGGCAGACAAGAAAGCATTTTTTGCAGGCATTTTATTATTTCCTTTCTCTCTCTCCATTTTCGATTTTTCCATCTGTACAGTGGTTTAATGCTTTGTAACCCTGCATTGAAAGACAAGCTAAAGCCTTGCTCTGATTCCTTGTTA